AAACAAATCCCACATAATCTTAGTTTACGGATTATTTTTTTTAATCAGCATCAGTTTATCGATTTAATTTCAAGTTTAAGTCATGGTTTTTTTTAATGCTTAAGTCAAAATTTGTGTCCTACGTACATTAATCACGTGGGTCGATAAATTTATATCATGTTGCAGAAGAGCGTAAATTCGGGACTAGAACATTGTATTTATGCAAGTAATACTAATGCCACACCGTATTCTTAGGAATCATTTATTATCCTAAAATAAACTAATCTAAACATTCTATTAACATATCCCTTTCATCCAGACATGCTCCAATATACGTGTATGTACACACAGACACACATCACACAATAATATTTTTCAGTTAAACAAACATAATACATATGATTAAATATGTCATGCTTATCTTAGAGTTCAGAAATTAACTGCACATGGTACAGTTCTCAAACTCAGCCTTCATTTCTTGCATGTAAATTATATTTTTGTACCTACAAGTAAAAATAAGCAGCATAGGATTATCACAGCAATACAGCATATTTGTGTAGTTTATTTTTGAACGGTAAGGAATCTATTTTGCAATATGCTTTGTTGCTATCCCTACTACTATGTGTCTAGTTTTGTTGCATTGCCTAAGTGGACCCTTCAAGGTTTTGAATAAAATAATAATGATAATAGTAGAACGGGACGAAAGAGCATGGCTTTTATTGCGGGCATGTATACAGAAGAAAAGGTGAGGTACACCCTCAAACATATATCAAGCATTTTTAGAGGGAGAGCAATGAATTGGAGATAACTCCAAGATCTTATTTATTGTTACAAAACAATCTTGAACGGACACTAAAGTACAGGGTAACAGTTCAATGAGTGATGGAAAAGGAATAGAGAAAAAGGACCTCTATCTCCTCTGTGCCTAATATCGCTATGATGCCTCTTACAAAACTTATGATTGCATTGTTATATACATAGCTATAGTACTCCCCTCTTTTTATAATATATATTTTTTCTATATATCTTCCTTCATTTGAATCATTTGTGAACACGCATGCATGGCCAAGCAAAATCTTAAAGTGATATATGTATACGAAGCAGCATCTTCATATATGAGAAGTACAATATATGCCTTCACAGAGATTTACATAATTACATGTGTGTAGGTTACATACATGTAATGAAATACTCGTTCCTCGGCAAATTGAAAAAAAAAATAAAAATAAGAAAAACGAATGATAATTAGCAAGAAACAGAATTATTGAGGCGCATGCTCTATAGCAGTCAAGTACTTGCACACGGAAACTATGTCAGCATGCTTCTCGTGGCTCACTTAGAACCACACGTGCATGAGCTTTTCCCATTCCCTTTCCCATCACACACAAGAGAGTGTTGCGGTAAAGAGTTCCATATCTTGCAACTTTTTTGGCTTCTTATTTCCTCTCCTTATTTCTTTTGTGGTTTTTCTGCTCTTTTAACCTTCAAGTTTTAATCCTTTCATAAGAATCAGTGATTGCCCTCAACCAATGAGTCATGTAAATGAAATTTAAGAGAGGTTTTATGCTTTTATTTTGAATAATTTTTTTTTCATTTTTAATTATTTAAATTTAGTTTTGGGTTAATAAAATTAATTTTTTATTTTGCTAGAAAAAGAAAAACATACAAAAAAAAACATACACAGCCACCGACAACATGCTAGTATGGTCGTTTAGGTTTAAATTTGCATTCACAGCAGTCTCGGATAGGGTTGCCTTACCAACAAAAACGTATGACTATGCTTTTCAATTATACACCAAATAGAAACATATACTAAAGCCGAAGGCTTCTAATTTATGTTCTTTTGCTTTCATAATTCCCAGTTTGAACATGTTGTTTGTACTGGCAGGAGAAGATACTTTTAGGTATCACGTTTACATTTAAAATATATTTTTTGAAATATGTGTATAAAGTAAACTAAAAGTAATAATATACAATATTGCATATAATATTAATTTTTAGTGCATCAAATAACGGATTTAATTTTAGGTTTAACCCTTATAAACAAATCGCTCTAATTCATGATGAGTTTTTATTCTTTTACGAATGAATTATTTGCTCCCGCGTTTGTCTGATTTTGGTTGCTTCCCTCTTTTAAATTTTACAACAAAAACATTACTCTCAATAACCTTTATTTTTCTTTTTTTTAATCTTTTAATTTTACATAGAGTTGTTCACAGTTAAATTAATTTATAATGTTAAAATTATTTATATTAATATCTATTTTTATTTAAAATGTTCATAAATAAAGAGTATTTTTTTATTATATTAAACTTAAAAAATATGTAATGTTTTAATTTTTTTTTATCCAATTATGGTATTTATTTATATTGATTATTGATATAGTCAGAATCAAAATTTTCTTTTAAAATGTTAACAACATCACACACACGTATATGGATGCATAGAGAATAAATTACATTATTACAAGTTATACTAATAATTACATTATTTAAATAATTTTTAATTAAACATTTTTATTTTGAAATCAATCATATTTAATTAATGGTAATTTAAAATTATTTGATGGCTTATTTAATTATGTAAAAATTAATGTAATATATTTTACATTTAAAATATGTAAAAATAAGGATAATTTAATTATATTCTTATAACTATTTAATTTTAATAAAATTTAATACGCATAGTGAAAATACTAAATATAATTGTAATTCAACTATTGAAATAAAAAATTTTAAATTTTGCATCATGTTATAGTAATGTAATTATTAGTTTTTTTTAGTTTCTCAAGAGTCAATAAGATGGAGTTAGGATAATTAACTTTTCAATTGAAAAATTTATTATTGTAATTTTCATAAAAATATACAATTTACATAAATTATAGACATATCTTAACTGTATCCAATAATTTAAAATTAAATATTCACTTAATTTATTTCATGATTTAGGATTTCTTTTTCATCTATTCATTGGTCTTAGTTTTCTTTTGTATAATTTTTTTCTTAATTATTATTATTATTTTACCTTTTACATCATAATTTCTCCAATTCTTTTATTTTTATTGTTTCATGTATCTATCGTCCCCCCACCCACCCCTTTTTTCTTTCACATCACACCATGTCACCATCCATAATAATAGAGGTGGTAAAAAGTGTTATGTGGCCCGTTGAGGAGTGTAATTTAGATTCAAAATTTTAAATTTAAACTATATTTTATTACATAAACTTTAATCCAACCTATTTTAAGGAGTGTAATTTAGATTCAAAATTTTAAATTTAAACTATTTTTTATTAAATAAACTTTAATCCAACCTATTTTATCGGCTACATGTAATAGTGTGTGAAAATCACGAACTCATCCGTAAATTGTCTATGTTTTGTTTTCTTTTCTTTAAGAGGATTAGGCAAAATACTGGCGACAACCTAAGAAATATTAAATTGTGAAGTCAATAAATGTGTATGCTCACACGCACATATGCCTATATTATTAAAGATACAATTTTGTTAACCCTAATATTTAGAATACTTTTTAAAATTTTTTAAAATAATAAATTTTATTAAAAAATTACATTAAAGATATACAAATATGATAAATATTTTTTAAAATTATTATTATTGTTGTTAATTATTTAAAATAATATTTAAAATTAAGGCTAATATTTTTCTTAATAATATAACATAATATTATATGAATAAATATATGTTATCATTTCTTTCTACAAGTTTTTATATTTGAAAAAAATAAATTGTTAACAGTATATTTTTTCTTTTTATATAAATAATTAATTTTTTGTTCAACTAGCCATCTCTTATATCATATTAATATGCGTACTTGACCAATTAGTGGAATAAAAAATTTGAATAGCACATGAGACTATGTATACTAATTGCTTGGAGGAATTTTTTTTTCAAATAATAAAAATGTTGCCTAATAATAGGATTAAAATTAAAAAGAAGATAAAGACAAAATGCTCTTCTAACAACTAACAATGGTCACCGAATAAGATTAAGATTAAAAAAAAAAAAACTCAATATTTCAAGTTTCAACAGAATAGGAACACCATTTTTTGCAATCAAAATAAAAAATGTCGTCTATAATAAATATATTAGTTTTGTAACATCAACTCTTAAAATATATTTTTAAACATCTAGCAATAATAAGATTTCATTTAAAAAATACTTATTATACTAAAAACATAATAATATAAAAAATATTTTTAATAATTACTCTTATTTTAATTTTTTTTTTAAAAAGCATAGTCACTGAAGGGGCAACAGGGACAAACCTATGAGTGGATCCGTCGTTGCGGAATTCAAGAAGGATTAATTCGTGCGGGAAAATTTTCCCACAGTAAACAAAAAATAAAATAAATTTGGAAAATTCAAAAATAAAAAAAGAAACTAATGCAAGTGACCAAAACTTTGAAGGATTCATCAGATTTCTCATATGACATGCACACGAGTGACACTGTTACAATTTAGCATTTACAAAAGACCAAACAAGTGTTTGTAATAAGAGCCAACATATAAAATACTTTTAAGGATATTTACAAAAGAATTAAGAAATTTATTAATACATATTTATAATGATTATAATATTTTTTAATAATCTTTAATTTGATTATATCTTTTAATAAAAATACTTTTAATTTTAAGTCTTATTAATTAGTCCCGTATCAATAATAGACACTTTTTTTTATATATAAAAAAGTAGGTACTAATTAGTGTAGTATTATTTGCCTTTAGATTTTTAACGTTTGCTATAAAAAAAATCATTTAACTATTAAAAAAATCATTTAACGGCGTTAGAATCCAGGGCATGGCCGAACCCCATTCACACCCTAAACCGGTTAAGCGGTCAAATGCTACGTATGAAAGCGTCGACCATGGCATGCAATGAATTCCACCGGCTCAACGTTGTCCGTACCAGTTGATGACCGTCAATTGCCGGTCAACTTTCGCCTTCATTTCTATCTTCAAAGGGTCCTTGTAGTTGTTCCTTCCATACAGCTTTTACTTTCTTGTAAACCCAAAACTACACCCCCCTCTCTCTCTCTCTCACACACACCCACAAACACACACACACACACACAAACACACACAACTATAAACCAGATCAACCCTAGCCTTCTCACTACCTGAAGAGTGCAAGTTTTGAGTCTGTGATGTGCTGAGAAATGAAGGATTTGAGCATTTGAGAGATCAGCTAGGAAGGTATATGGAGAAGAAGGAGATGGCTGTGAAGACTGAGGATGCGGTTGGGTCCTCTTCCTTCCCTTGTTACAATTCAAACGGTTATCCATTCTCAAGCGTGTTTGATTTCTCTGAGGTGGAAAAGAACTCTTTAGGGTTTATGGAGTTACTGGGTGTTCAGGACTATAGTCCTCTGCTTGAGTTACCTCAACTATCCAGTTTGAGTGTGCCTCATCACTCTACAGTTAAGCTTCCATCTGATACTGGAAAAGAGTGTTCAGAGGTGTTGAACCAGCAACCTGCCACTCCAAACTCTTCTTCTATTTCATCTACATCCAGCGAGGCAGTTAATGATGAACAGAATAAGACTGTAGACCAAGCAGGAGAAGAAGAAGAAGATGAAGAAGAAGAGCAGAAGACTAAGAAACAGTGTGTTTTCTGTTTATCTCACTTTTTGTTTCCTGGGGGGTAACTAAATAACCATGTTTTTGATGGAAGGATAAGGATATATGGTGGGTTGTTTTTATATTTTGCAATTATTTAGTGTCTAAGCTCCGGCTTTTGATTTCATTTTGATTCTTTTTGTTTTTCGGGGGGGCGGGGTTCTGTTAATTAAGCTTCGTTTTTCAAAAGTTGATTTCACAAGTGAATGGTTCATGGGATGTGAAGAGGACAATTTCGGGTATAAAGTACGTGTTTTTATATATGCTTTTCCTTTAATATTGTAGGGAGAACGTATTTCACAGTCCAATTAGATAAACAAATGAGATCGTGGTCATGGGGATGCTTTTTGTTTTCTTTCTTTATTTTTTACTTTTGAGATAAAATAGAATACGTGTGGTTGATGTGAGGAAGGTTCTAAGATTTGATGGTTTCTGGGATCTGGTTCTTATTGGGTTTAGGTTGAAGCCCAAGAAGACAAATCAGAAGAGACAGAGAGAACCAAGATTCGCGTTCATGACGAAAAGCGAGGTCGATCATCTGGAAGATGGGTACAGATGGAGAAAGTACGGTCAAAAGGCTGTGAAAAACAGCCCCTTTCCCAGGTAATATATGCTTTGATTCTCCAATAAAACTCTAATCTTTAAGCTTAACTGTTAACCCACCTGCACCAAGCTAGTTAAATTTGTTTCCTTCCCTTCTTCTCTTCATTGGTTTAATTAATTTACACCCCTAAAAGACAAATAAACAAAGAAATAAATGGCCTTAATATTTGGAATATACATGTGTGGATGCATATGTAGGAGCTATTATCGTTGCACCAGTGTTTCATGTAATGTGAAGAAACGTGTGGAGCGATCTTTCACTGATCCCAGCATTGTAGTGACAACCTATGAAGGACAACACACACATCCAAGCCCAGTCATGCCACGCTCAGGTGTCTCCGCTGGATACGCCACCAACTTTGGTTCAGTTTTGCCACCAGGAAACTACTTATCCCAGTATCAGCACCACAACCCTCATCAACAACAACAACTCCTTGTCAACTCATTGTCCTCTATGGGCTTCCCTTACAACGATTCTTCATCTCCAAAGAACGCCGCTTTTGCTCAAGAGAGACGGCTTTGTAATCCAGGGACGAATGCATTTCTAAGAGACCATGGGCTTCTTCAAGATGTTGTTCCTTCGCACATGTTGAAAGAAGAGTAGATGATAGCTCCATTACTCATGCTTCTATGTGATTTATTTTTTGCTGACTTTTTCTATGGATTTAGGTAAGAACTCTAGTACTGGTACATGTAAGTTTTTTTTTTCTTTTTCCTGACAGGTGGTAATATTAGAGATCATGATCATACCTGAAAAACCCACTTTATTTCTTTTGCACATAGCCCATCATGACATGGTTATCGCCGTAACACGATGGATTATGATCCAGTTCAGGGACTACTAGTTGATCCGATTTAACATTAATTTTTTACGGATAAAAAAAGGAACAAAGTGTTTGTTGGTGGGTTGGGCTGTGTGTGGAAATGATAGAAAATAGTAAATAGGCTTCTGTCTTCTTTTTAATATTCTGATTCTGACTCCTCGTTTGTCTTGTATTTTTGTTTCTTTTTGTTGAAGGAATGTGCATTGATTTCACATATGTACAGCAGTGAAGATTGTTAGGTAATTGGGTTAAGGTTTTTAAACGGGAACAACTGGTGTGAAAACTTGCTTGCTTTGTAACCCGAACTAATTATAGTTAAATGTTTTTTCAAATTAGGAGGATGTGGTGGTGAAAGTCTTATCCCAATATGGGGCACGGGGTTATAAATAAGAAGAGTAATTCAACCACTCCGATCCACTTTGAGAGGGATGAGTAAATGCCTGTGTGTATTCTGCACGCGATGCGATCCATTCATGGATTGAAGATTGGTAGAGACGGGTGGGATTAGAAAAGAAGAAAAACAAAAGGAGAAAAATTTATACAAGCTAAGCATATCGAGTGTGATATGGTCACTATGATGGAATAGATCTTGATAACGACACATGTTAGCTTTATTTATGAAGGCATCAAGACACCTCGTGCTTGTTTACAAGTTTTGTTTTATTGAGCAGTTGAGTCTCTTATTGTGGAGAATAATTGAAGTTTTTGATGGCCGTTCACGGATAGGCATAGGCTAACATATTGAAAGATGTTATATACGACACGCCACCGTCAAAGAACCGCAGGGGCCTCCCCTCGTACGCTTTCGTTTTCTTTCTCTTTAACGGCAATTGCCAAATACATTGCATCGAATTAAAATCTTTCACTTTGTTCAGCATAAAGCGAGGAATAATCAGCGACACTGCTCCTTTCTTCCAAAGCCAAAATGGTCTTTTAAATTGCCTACTTCTTTTATTTTTTCGCACCATAGAGAAATAAATGCCAAGCATTACCACCCTGCCGACTCGATTAAACAAGCAACATACCAAACTTTGTATGTAAAGGGGATAAAAATCTATGATCCTTTTAGAATCTAGATTCCATATAGTCGAAAAGAACACAAGAATCTCCACAATCAATCAAAAATTTTAGACCTCAAAAAGCTACACGAATGCAGGAAACAGATATTTTGGCACCGTTCATCACATGGCGTTACTTTGAACTGAAAACGGTATTTATGTCAAATTCCTATATAGACAATAATTGTTTGTGTTAAAGTTTTAGGAGTACACTAAGCAGACAGCGAATCTAAATTTTGTGGTGCCTACAGTTGTAGTGGAGCCAGGTTTCTTATCTTGCTCTGTAGGCTTAATTTAATCCTCTGATTCCTCTCTCCCCTACAGGCGATCAATGTACGAATAAAAATCCAAAGATTTGTTCGATTGACAAGCCGAGTGTGAATTACTGTCATACATGAAAACGTGAATCAACAGCAGCAATAACCTGCCCCCACTAAAAATATGGAAAAGCCTGGCATGGCATCATGAAATGCGAATAGCACGCCTTATTCAGAAAAAAGTTACATTTTTTTTTTTTTTGGGGGGGGGGGGGTGGGTTTGTGTGTCTCAATCATCACCAGCCATTATCCTACTTCCACATGTTAAACAGTTTTAATAAAGAAAAGTTTAGCCTCTATTCCACTATTTGGTTTTCTAGATATCAGAGTGCAACAAATTACCCATAATATATCCTTTAAAGTGCTCTTCCAGGTATGATAATGGAAATGCAACAAATCCCCCCAGTTACAGATTAGTAATAATTTAGGATACAAGTAAGGCTATATTTGTAGAATACACTAGTCTAGATTACTATATCAAGTTGTTTGCATTACTTACAAGTTGTTATTCACTAGTTAGACTTAGATAGGGAGAATAAATATAATAGCATTGCAACATCAAAGTTGAAAGTGAATATGACTTAAAGATTTTTTCTCTCACTCGGAGATGGATATTAGGAGTTTTGTTTTGACTCGTACAAAGAACACATTCAGCTTAGAATAAAGAAGCGAAGCACGCAATCCACATCAAACAAAGAGAACCACCACAAGAAAAGTTGGAAGCTAAATTCTGCAGCAATTTAGAAAGTCTTTTAATGATCATAATAGTTAACAATCTGGGATTTCAGGCCCCTAACAAGAATAATAATATTAAACCTGCCAAACAACCGGACTTGTCTATGACAGCCAATGAACATGATTTTTTCCTGCATAATTAAAGCATGTTAAATGAAGTAGCAGACCATGTCCAAAGTTCAATAACATACACAGGCCACTCTCTTAACTAAATATGAGTTTTTACTTCAAAAAAGTTGTCATAGTATGATCATGGCTATATTTTAACCAAGTTTCAAGAAGCAAAAACGTAGCATGTGCTAGAAATAGCAAGAGACATCCTCAAGCCCAAATGACAGAGTCGACAGAATAAACCCAGTTGTTGGTTTCAGTTGCAGACTCTTGCGGAACATCCCTAAAGCATAATTATTGAAACAAATAGGAATGTGCCATCAGAATGGGCAGAAAGATGGGAAATGATATCATAAGTTGAACCTCATTGCAAGTAAGACAACTGTTTTTCTCTTTGTTAAATCAAAATTATAGCCTGATGAAATTGAGTGGGACTACATGAGGTTTGGAAACAATAATCAGCCAGTTATGAAGAAATGAACAAAGAGGGTAAGAAAATTGCTGCTTTTTTAAATTTCACTGAATGTGTCTCTAAGAGTAACCATCACACACCGAAGTTGCTAAAACCCTGTACAAACAAGACCAAAAAGGGTTTCACAGTTGTGGCAGTACTTATAACTGTCAGGGAAGCGATATTCACTCCTGTCACACTATAAAGGAGCTTCTGTTCCTGAATTTGTTGGCGTGTTAGATGAAAAACTGCTAGAAACATATGAGAATTACATCCAGGGTGAGTAGTATGCAACTGGGAAAAACATGAAACTGAAAACACTATTGCAGGTAGCAAATTAAAGAGACTGAACTCAATTAGTATCTTGTCAAATTAGATAAATTCACTTCAAACATTTTTTAACATTGGTAAGAGGCCTAGTGGGAGGTGGTCCTCAATTATGACCAAACCATCAAAGAATTAAAAGAAAGGAGTCCAAATTTAACTCATCTTAGGCTTTATATATGCTCAGAGTTACCAAAATTTAGAAAGGAAAACTCCAACAATTTTGAGGAGAAACAAGAAATTGAGGCTGAAATGACTGAACATGAACATAAGATGCAAGAGTGCAACAAGTAAAAGTATTGGGTGATTGTGCAATGTTATAAAAATTTTGTACCTGAAGAAGTTGGTTGGTTAGTCTTTCCCATTGGTAAGAAAACGAAGAAAATCCCTTTTAGAAGAAATATGCTGCTTTTTTGTTACTGGTAGACTACTGTTTTGAGTTTAAATAAATATTAATTATTTGCAAACTTCAAATATTATATTTCACCTCAGTAAACATTAAATTTGACTACAAAATACATTTCATCTTATATTTTTATTAAGAAATTTGCTAATTAATGCTTTTAAGAGACTAATTAAAAAATAATTTTGCAAGTTTCAACTCTTGTACCTGAACTTAAGTATATAAAAATAATATCTGTTACACTTTTATATTCTCAAAGTGATAAATATGTTTTTGATAAAGATTTATCACTTTTAGCTTCTTATAATTTTGTTTTCTGATATTAATAAAGGTATTGATTATAATATTTTTAATTTGTAATTAGTAGTTATATTTACGAATTATTAATATGATTTTTAAAAATATTGTTACATACAGATCGTTTTACTAATTTTTTTTACTAAATCAAATAATGATATAAAAATTAAGTTTTTAATTTAATATTTTTATTAAAAGTATAATATTTGTTACACTTTTATTATATTAACAAAAAAAATTATACTATTTTTTTTATTTTTAAATAGTATTTATCTTTTAAAAATTATTAACTTGATTTTTAAAAATATTTTAAATGTATTCTATAGTACTAAGCAAACCGGAACAATGTAAGGGAAACATTAATAACTAATCAGATGATGGGAATAAACATTAATAATAGCAGCAAATTCGACAAGCTGTTTGTCAAGATCAGTTTAGTATAATCTCATAATAGTATTGTAAACATGTAGCTAATGCAATCGTTATAAAGTATGTGTTATTACAACCTAAGTTAAGGATTTATGATTATAAATAATGTTCCGTATGAATGTTCAATTGATTTAAAATTCATCATGATTATAAAAACAACTTAATAGTTGATTAATGAAATTTATTTTTTATAAAAAAATTAGTCAAACTTATTTTTAAAATAAGTAAAAAAATTTCTCCTATAAAATATATAATATGTACTTTATATTATTAATTAATTTAAATTCATCCATGATAATCTTATGTATTTTTATTCATATTAATATATATTTCAATGAAGCTATTAAAATATTATACAATCAATGCATATTGCGAGAAAGATGTTAATATATAATTTTTACACTAGAGTTTATTATTATAAAAGGTTTAATTAATTTTTTTATTCTTAAAAATTTGAAACCTTTTTATTTAGGTTTTATTTATATTTTTACAAGTGGGGTATTTTTATTAAAACATTTTTTTATCAAATCATTTTTTTAAGTCTTTCATTCAATTTAAATTTTTATCATTTAATTCTTTGTGATCTCTCGAGTTTTTAATTTGGTCTTTTAAAAAATTGATATATTTAGTAGATGTTTGATTTGATTTATTTTAAAAAAATATTTTCTTAATGATTTTTTAAAAAAAAATTAAAAATTGCTATTTTCCAACTTTATTCTTTGGCAAAAAAAAAAAAAAACACAATTAGAAGGATTGAACGAGAAAATTATATTATTTATAAAAAAAAGTTAAAAAAAATATACTTAACAAACACAAAAAAAGCTAACATAAATTTTATAAAAGAGTTATTTAATAAAAATATATTATGAGACATTCGTTTGAGAAAAAAAATTAAAATAAGGGAGTAAATAAAAAATGATGAAATTTCAAAAGACTGAAAAGTTAATTAAATTTTTTACAAACATTTTTAAAAAAAATCAAAGTTTTCTCCTCAAATAATTTGTTTTAAAATAACCTTTTTACTTCAAATTTGAATTAATAAAATTTTATGGGAGTTAACTAGGGGGGTAATTTAACAAAGTATTTCCCGGAATTTGTTATTGCAGTTGAAAAAAAAATGTTTTTGGCTCACTTATTTAGATGTTAACTAGTTTTTATAAAAAGTAAAAAGGAAAAAAAAATTTGAGCACTTGAACAATTTGACACCTAATGGATAATGGATATAACCAGGAAATAGCCGTTGTTGTCTTCTTGTGGAACTTTGGAATTGGGAGGACAGAGTGAGTCTGTTGACTCTTCTGAAAAATACCTTTCAAGTTTCAACCATTGACGCTCGTCTTTATTAAAAACATTAAATCAAATAATTGGATAAAAATCATTGGCCATTATTAAAAGAGAAAAACCTTAAATTGTTGTCTTATTATTTGTTTTTTAAAAATGCCTTGTATGTGTACGAGTGCGCCTGCGGGCATCGACAGATTCATAGTTAGGAATGTTTCTAGGGTTCTACCCTTTGACTTAAGGTACCTCCCTCTTCTTCATCATCTTTTATTTATTTTCGATTTGATATCAATTTTGTTTTTTTTCTTCCTATTTCATCTTAATTTTGAATCCATTGCTTTTGAGTAATCTGATCAAGCATTTAACCATCAAAATTTTTATCTTTAGCTTGATTGGGAGCTGGGTTTTTAAAATTGTAACTCCCTGTTGATGAAATTGATTTACATCAGATGGATACTATTCTAAGAGAGAAAGACGTTGAATTTGACCTTGAAAGTGGTGGGAACACTAGCGAAGAGGATGCAAGCAATGATCTTTGCGTTAGTGAGGGAGAATCCAAGGGTGGTTTTCATTGGGCATGGAATGGGATTCTGAATTTTGATGGATCAGATAAGGGTAAAATTGGGATTGAATCATGTAGCAATTCAGCAAAATCTGGTGATGTTGTGGTTGTGGATGAGGATAATTTACAATTATTTGTGGAAAAGGGTTTGGAACATGGTCAACAGCAATTGTCTTATGTAAATGGTAATCATGTAAAACAGAAGACTAATCCCAAAAAGCCTAGAAAGCCACCCCTGCCTCCTAAAGGTCCATCACTGGATGCTGGTGATCAGAGGTTTGTGAAGGAGCTTGCTGAGCTTGCTTTGAGGAAGCGTGCAAGGATTAAGAAAATGAAAGCAGTAAGAAAGATGAAAGCAAGGAAGTCATCATCATCATCATCAACATATACCAGTCTTTCAGCCATGGTCATCACTATTTTCTTCTTCCTTGTCATAATACTCCACGGTAAATTAGCAGTTCTTTTGCTAGGTTTGTCTTTGAAGCATAGTAATTAATGCATGTTTGATTTGGTTAATTTTTAGGAAATTCTTTTAAGGATCTCTATCCTTAAGATTTTGAATATAAGTTGTTTTCAAGGTAAAATGAGATAATTCTGACATAAACTTATTGTTTACTAGTACAACGTATGCCTACATCTCAATTTGGTACTGTGCTATATACGCAGCCACTTTCATACTTGAACCGAACAGCTAAATTGTCTCCCCGTGAAAACGGAATTGTTTTTACTTAAAGAAACAAGTCATGGAGACTTGCATTTGTTCTGTTTGTTGTGTACATAAATCTGAAGCATAGAGTGGCAATATTGATACATTGGCTTGAATTCATTAGCATTGAAACTGTGCCTCTTGTAACACTTATATTGATGGCCAAAACTTGAAACATTATTTACTGTATGCCCACCTTTTTCTCCTGTTCTTTTCTTATATTCATATCTTATGTTGAGTTTCAACAGCATTTTATTGTTTTAGTGGTTAGCTGTTTTACTTCTGTCACTTCTGATTCAATATATGTATTTAAATGTTTCATTCTACTCTGGTCTGTTATTGAGTATGCATTATATTACAAGGAAACTAGATCCAAACATAAAATGCATATTTTCTGTAAGTATTTATGATGGGGAGTTAGATTGAGACAATTGACCTGCCTTGAATACTGATTGAACATCTTGAGACATTGTAAAATGACTTTTGGAGCTAAGCATTTGTTAACAGTTTCGGACGTATCTCATTTGGAAGTCTGGTATTTGGGGAGTACTCATGTTGCTTAGACTTTGATTGCAGGAATCAGATCAGCGAGTAGTGCTGCTGTTGGCTTAATGGCTTCCCCTGAGGCAGCAGTTGTGGCAGATGAAGGTTTGATTTCAGTTCAGTATCCCAAAAACTTCAACACAAATGAAGGAGATGCACCTGGCTCTCGCTATTCAGGTGCATATTTTATTTTATCTTTTTTTCACAACTATGCAATTGAAGGATAATTTTGTATGCTATGTTAATGGGATTATATTAGAATTGTAGCAATCTGATTGTTTTCCTTCTGCCTTGCATTGATGCAGTTCTGAAGGAAAGATGATGTGGTAATTATGAAGATTTTTTCCCTTTCAATGTGAGGTTAGGCCATTCTTTTCTAGTTTGATTATGTTTGTGTTCTTGTACAGCCATTAGGAACCTTAGCTATTTCTCAAGTTTTCTTGTACAGTGACCTGATTTGCAATGTTAATGAAAAAGGAGTTCTGCTTATGGATTATTTCTTTTTTGCTGACTTGGCATGTAGTATGAAAAGGTGAAATAAAATGAAATGTACAATAATAATTAAAATACATTTTGTATTTGGAAAATGTTAACATTAGTTTCTAGAGCTAATTTTAAGCATTCAGAATTGATAACATTTTATTCAAAAAATAAGTATTAATTATTGTACAAATTCAAAAGTGTAATAAATCATTTTTAATAAAAATATATTATTTTTATATACTTAAAATTAATCTTGAGGGTTAATGTTAAAATTTATTTTCATGTTTTCCCTCAATTTGGGAAGACTAGGATGGAACATTTTTTGTTTAATTACACAAAGTTCCTCTCTTGCCCTATAAATGCACCCTCTCCATTCCCTCCTCTGCCCAGCTACTGCAACCAGCCGGTTCCTGTTCATAAGCAATTGCAGCCAATTTCTGGGTGCAAGCAATATATAATTTTACAGCTAAATATTAGTGATCAAACAACCACGTGAGACGTGATTTGATTGTCAATTCTCCTATGCATGATACATCAACTTTTACTGAAGACTGAAATTGGAAGGATTGAGTTATGAGAGAAAATGAAGTGGAAGTTGGTTTGGAAGGGCACGAAACAGATCCGAACTCTCTCACGTTGGAACTGGACTTGAGTAGGAGCGGAAAGTTTTGATATTTTTGCCTAAGCGAATAAAATTTGCTTAAGTCAAAATGAGATTGAAGGTTCAATTTTTGCGTAAACAAGAGAAAATTCATATCCAGCATGAAACTATGATAGTGAAATCTGCGTTTTTATTCTCTTTTATTTTTCTCTCTTATGCTCTGCGGTAATTCAAAGGATAGAAGGGATTAGACAAAAAGAGGATTAGATATTTACTTTATTAAGGTATGAATATTAATATTTTTAGAAGTAAGGATGTATTATAAATTAAAACATTATAATTCACTTTATATATTAATACTAAACAACCTGGTCTCGTAAAGTTGGCATTCTCTCGTGAGAAACAAATTGTTGCTTCTACATCACTTAATAAGTAAGAGTTGGTTAATTAATGAATTAGTAAGCTAACACAATATTTTTTTTAATTAATTTTTTTCTAAGGTCTACGCGTAGCTGGTCATAATCACTGGTTCAAGAAAAATTTATATTCAGTAGAGTACGTCTTACTAAATAGATTAATCATACCCATTAAAATAATTAAAAGAAATGTTAACCTATCAAACTAGGTTAAGTTTTATATTATATAACTGATTTTTTATTCTTGAATACGAGATTTTTTCTTATTATCCTCTCTTCTCTTCTTTTATGACGTGGCTTCATAATAATTCAGTATTATTATTCCTTTAACATTAAGATTATTCCTTCTGTTAGAAAAGAAATATCATTTTATTGTTAAGATGTTAAATTCTTAAATCTGAATTTTAATTATTTATTTGAAATATACTAAAATTTTCATTTTGCCTCAAATTTTAAATACACGATATAGACGAAATATTTGCTAGTTACGGTACATGATAGCTCAAATGATGGTGAAGTTGCATTGATGTGTATGCGTGTGTACGTGACAATAAAATAGTTGCTAGTGGATCAACAAATGTCTTAGGCCGAAACCACACTTTCCCCGAGAAATAGCAAGTAGACATGGACTTAGGCCAAGTTTTTACATAATTCTTTTATAAGAAAAATTAAATAAATATTTTTTTATGACTTAGAAATAATTTATCTTTTAAAATTTTAAATAAATCAAACAAAAAATTCATAAAAAATTTAAAAATATTTTAAATAAATTTTATTCCATATTTTATATAATTTTTTATTCTTATAAATACTTATTAAAATATTGTTTAAACTAGACTTTAAGTTCTTTTGATTTATTTAATTAATTTAGAAGTTGTTTTAATTAAATTTGTTTTTAACTAAAATTTTTAGTTATTTCATATAACATTTAAATTTATAATTTTTCTTATTACTAATTTATTATAATTTCTTAATATTTTATTTCATAAAACCCTACACAAATTTATTAATTTTATATTATTTAATTAAAAAATATATACAAAAATAAATTAAAAAAATTATTATTACTTTTTATATGATAAATTTTGAAAATAAAGTAATGGTTATTTATACATATGTATGATTAAAAAATCTTAAGCTAATATTAAGAAATTAATTATTTTTACGAGCTAGTATAATTAGCTAACTTAGATAAGATATATTAAATTGAAATTAGGTGCAAGTGGTGAGTTGATTAGAGGTATTTTTCCTTAATATGATTTTAGGGGCAATGAGGATAATGGTGTGGCAGTGTATCGGGAAATGCTGAAGGAATGCAAGTTGTGGCGAAAGTAGAAAGAAGATGGCAATGATCCCACTTTTGGAGTGGTTTAATTGTGGTACATGACCCTTGTACCATTCACGTAACCCCCAAAACCAAGTCCACAATACATTATGGTACGTAACGTAATGGTCCATAGGGCATGGCTACATTGCCAACAATAAAAGCTCTCATGACCACTCCTCAGCATTTGTAAAACCAATTATTAGCTAACTTAGAATTTCCTTTAATTGGCCATCCCTTAGCAAGCTCAACCCATACATACTCCTTGTTTAACACACAGATTCAAACCGTGGTCGGCTCAAACACCTATCATCAGTCAATTCATCATTCTCATCCACCCCTTTCCATTCCTGTTATTGCTTTAGGGGACATCTACTCTCTTAACAATATTTTGGAAGCAAAAATAATTTTAAATATTATTAATTTAACTAACTAATAAATATCCATCCATTTAAAGGAGTTTTTCTAAAACATTTCTAAAAATATCAAATATTTTTTAAAATTTCATCGTTGTTTAATGATTAAAATAAATTATATTACCAAAGTCAACTATTAAATATTTAAGAAAATAATTAGCTAAAAAAGATATTTTTTAAATTAAACTGTCTAATGGATTTAAAACTATTATGCATTATTTAAATGCCTAACATTTTGAAGGATTGTGCATTGAAAAGCTCAAACACAGAGGTCCTTGAGCTCTGTACACGATTTTTGCTTTAAAAAATGACAAAAAGTGTATTTATATAATAATAAACCATGTACCGTAGCTTTCACTTTTTATTACATTATATAATCTTTTATATTGAGTATTTTTATTTATTTTTTCCATTCCTTTCAATCCTTATTATTAAATTACATTATAAATTTAACAGAAATATATAATTTTATAAATAAATTAAAAAAAATCAAATTATTACAATCATGCTCTGTTATAAGTCTTAATTTTACTACACTACATTGATAAAGATGTCTTAATTTAAATAAATTATTTTTATAATTACTTTCTCAAATTTTAAATTTTATTTGTTTTTGTTTAGTATAATAAAATATTATTGGTAATATTAAATTTAAACATATTCACACAATTAAAAAAAATACTAATTATATGATAATTCAAATTGATTTCGATAAGAGAAATGTTTTTACGTCTAAAAGGAGTAGATTTAATTGAGTATGAAATTTATAATATTGATAAAAAAAACTATGTACATTTATTCTTTATAAATAATTTTATCAACAAACAATTTCTTTATAAATAATTTAAAATAGTACTCGTAAACACAGAATTATTTTATTAACGTAAATTCCTTTAAAATTATTTTTTCACATAGTTTTTACAAAGTTTAACCCTATAAATTTTTAAACAAATGAACCGGAATCGATCAATAAAACATTTGATACTCTAAAAAATGTGTTAAGAATATTCTAGTTGACAGGCTCCTTCTATCATATCTTTTGAGAGAGTTTTATGCGGGTCATATTAAAAAATATTCAACCTATGTTTTGTAACACGTATAAAATTCATTTAATATTAGGTAATGTTATTTTTATATTGATTTATAATGAAAAAATATTTTTAAAAATAATATATTTGAAAAATAATTATAATATTAAATAGTTAAATTAATAATTTTTATGTTAAGCAAACAAATAAATCTATTTGAATGAGTAACCATTAGCATTTTATTAACACAAAACTTATAATAAATAAAAACATTAATAATTAATATATTTAAAAAGTTTATTTTTTACAATTAAGATAAAAATATTAATAGTTGTATTTTATAAATAAAAAATGCACGTAACAATAGCGATGAAATTGAAGAAGGAAATAACTTATTCGATGTTCTTTAGATATTGTTAACGTTGTTTTTCAGTTAAAATTAAAAATTAATTTTAGTTAAAAATATTACATGTAATATAATAATAAATTATTTAATTTTAATTAAAATATAATACTAATAAACTTAAATTTTAACATATTTAAATTTACCTCAAATTTACTATGGAAATTGATTTATAATACTATAAATGTAAAGTTATTTTAATACTCTAAATTATAGTTTTTAAGTTAAACCTTGATTTAACGTAATTTTATTAGAAGCTGCAAAGATACACTTTGTCCCCCTTAAAATTGCGTTGACTTTGCTGACGCGATGGATAATGGCATTCCGGTGAGGGAGTGAAAATTATCTGACTTAATTAACTACTCTCTCATAATTTAATCCATTTTGTTCATCTTTAATTACTCTTGGAACTCGATCATTTCTCAAGAGTTATGATATGTAATGCTCCTTCAGTTTTGACTATTATGCCGACATAGATGCTTACTGTTAAAGCACAAGGACCAATTCTTTTCTACGAATTGGGAGTTTGTCATGCAGATTTTAGTCAACCAGTGTTAAAATTTTAATTATAATATTTTATAATAGTAGTTTTTAATTTTTTTTATTACATCACACATTTTATCATATATATATATATATATATATAAATATATATATAAATAATATAAAAAAAATGATGGTGCTAGAACATTTTTCTTGAATAATTGTTACTTTGCCAAGTAGAGGAGGAAATGAAAAGGGCCTTTGCGTATTGTAATGAACTTGGGAATTGGGTCAACAAAAATAGGCAAGAAAAATATAGTTGGCAAACGATGTCAAGTTGGCTCTACACGGAAAACATGCCACTAACGTAATAATAGTAGAAAAACATGGGTGTTAGTGTATCCATAGTTCTATAAATACAAGAGGTTCCACTTCTCAGAATAGCATCAGAGTACCTAATAACTGTGTTGAGTCCCATATTGAGATGGCTAAATTGTTCAGAGCGTTTTTCTTCAAGTCTCTTTTCTTCTTTTGGTACCGTTTTCTCTTTAGGCAACTCAGGAATCTCATCCGTTTCCACAGAAACATTAGCAATTCCTTTGCAACTACAACACAATTTAAATACCAAAAATTCCCTTCTCTCGTTCACAGGCCAGACCTCAATGATCACACTTTGATCTTTGACGTAGAAAATGCTTTATTGAAATCCTCTTCTGTGTTCCCATACTTCATGCTTGTAGCCTTTGAAGCAGGAGGGCTTCTTAGAGCCATAATTTTTGTTCTTCTATACCCTTTTGTGTGCTTAGCAGGAGAAGAAATGGGGTTGAAGATTATGGTCATGACATGCTTCTTTGGGATCAAAGCAGAGAGCTTCAGAGTGGGAAGGTCTGTTCTGCCAAAGGTCTTCTTGGAAGATGTTGGTTCAGAAATATTTGAGGTGTTGAACAAGGGTGGGAAGAAAGTGGGTGTTAGCAATCTACCTCAAGTTATGGTGGAAAGCTTCTTGAGAGAGTATTTGGACATTGATTTTGTTGTGGGCAGGGAGCTCAAAATTTTCTGTGGGTATTACGTGGGATTGTTGGATGAGACCAAAACTAAACATGCTTTGGAACAAGTTCAAGAAGGCAAAGGATGTTCCGACATGATCGGAATTACAAGATTCAACAACATTCGTGACCATGAATTTTTCACTCATTGCAAGGTTTGTGTTTTTAATCATACTTAATTATTAAGACTTCAATATTTTAAGTTGCATAGATGTTAAAAAATACATTTATTATATTTGAAGTTATAAAAGTACATTTTAATTTTTAAAACTCAATCTTAAGTCAAAATTTTTCTTAAACTATTACAATTGTTAATCCCATGCATTAAATTCCTCAATTAAGAATTAAATGTAGAAGATAGTGAAATAGTTACATGTTTAAATGTCAAATTTTTATTGTTAATTATGTCCTAGTATACTAGAGTCTCTCACACAGAATGCCCTCTAATGTTGCAACAGTTTTCTTTACCTGAGAAGTCAAAGTAGATATTGGACCTCTTCAAACTCACATTTTGTTTGTCCTTTTTTTTTTTGAACAATAAATAGGAAGTGTATGCGGTGTCAGAAGCCGACAAGAGGAGCTGGCAAAAGCTAGCAAGGGAGCGATATCACAAAGCTCTTATCTTTCATGATGGAAGATTGGCTCTAAGACCCACTCTAATGGTGTCAATAGCGATGTTGATGTGGCTTCCATATGGGTTCATTCTCGCAGTTATTAGAATATCGCTTGCTCTCTCACTTCCATTTAACATCTCAACCCCTTTGTTGATATTGAGTGGGTTACGTCTTACAACATCATTACCCACATCATCAGACAACCATGTTAAAGAAAAACCCAACATTAGTCACGGTAATCTTTACGTGTGTAACCACAGAACTTTGCTAGACCCTCTTTACATCTCTTTCTCACTACAAAAGAACTTAACCGCGGTAACATATAGCTTAAGCAGAATGTCTGAGATATTGGCCCCAATCAAAACGGTGCGGTTAACTAGGAACCGTGATGAAGATGCAAAGATGATGAAGGAGTTGTTGATGCAAGGGGACCTAGTTGTGTGCCCCGAAGGGACCACGTGTAGAGAGCCATATTTATTAAGGTTTAGCCCTTTGTTCTCAGAAATGTGCGATGAAATTGCACCCGTTGCTATTGATAGCCACGTTAGTATGTTCCACGGTACAACTGCTGGAGGACTTAAGTGCTTGGACCCAGTCTTTTTTCTCATGAATCCATCCCCGGTTTACAAGGTTCAGCTGTTGCACCATGTGTCGTCACATTCACATATTGACGATCATGATTACGAGAAATCGAGGTTTGAAGTGGCTAATCATGTACAAACAAAGATTGGTAATGCTTTGGGATTTGAGTGCACTAAACTCACTAGGAAAGACAAGTACCTTATTTTGGCTGGTAATGAAGGCATTGTTGCCAACAAGAAGTGTGGCAAATCTTAGTGGAGCGATTGAGCCACCCTTTGTAAAGTCACCAACAACCCGTTAGCTGTTTGAAAAGGACGAATTATGAGGTGAAAAAGATAGAATGGATCATGTCTCTACCTTTTTCTTTCTTTTCTCTCTTCTAATTAAGCCCGTGGACCTCAGCAAGAACTGGTCCTATTCCTCTCTTTTGATTGTCATTCCTTTTTTTTTTTAACTTTGTAATAATTTCTAAATAATTGTGTAGTACTACAAAAACAATATATTGATTTTTATCTATAGTCCTTTTGCAATTAATGTAGCTGGCTACCGCATGAACACGTACATCAATATCATGCATTGAGAGGAAGCACATGCATTTACCTCAAAACAAGATTTTACGAGTATTGGCAACTCCCATTTATTTAATGTTTTCTTCTTTTTCTAACGGTTACCTGGTCCCATATGCTACGTCAAAATTTCAACTAAAGGGGACAAATTTCCCGCAAAAAGTACTCAGCTCGAAATTTAAAAGGATTATGAGGTGTGATTTATTATCTATGTGGCTACTCTTTGTTCAAAACCTCTTCTGAGGAGAATTGTATGTATGTCGCAGGTACTGTAATAATGCAACTAACTCTTCTCAATTTTCCATCGTTTCTCTAACACCTAAAAGCTGGTGCCACCATCAATATCGATATTTATACTAAAGATCTGCAAAGAAGTGAACATGTGTCATTTTCTCATCAAGTGTATTTGTCTGCTTTCTTTTCATTTTATTTACTGTATTTTACCCCTCTGAATGTAAATGCAAGGGGACTTTCTTTAGTTTTTTCAACTGAAAGGACATAGAGTGAGTTAGAAAGGGCACTTGGCACTCAAATTAGCAGGCTTAATTATATTTTTAGAAATTTAGATTCAAAATGTGTAATTTAATTTTTAACTTTTTAAATTTAATTATGTTTTTTTATTTTTAAAATTAAATAATCATGGTATTCTTACTTTTTTTTTCTCAAAACTATTAATTTTTCATTTAAACATTTTGTAAATCAAATCGATTAAATTATTTTTTAAATGTACAACTCACAACAAAAAATTAAATTTTATCCAAAAATAAAAAATTCATAAAATTTTTTCTATTAAACTCTAATCATGCATCATACAAATTTTTTTGAATCATATGAAAATTTCACTAAGTTCTAAGTTTTTAAACTTTTAAAATTGTTTTACATCTTAAATTTATCATAAATTATAAATATTTAGAAAAATAAAAATATAATAAATAGATCAAACTTGCTAAATTTTAAATTAGAGAAACTTAAGTTACACTTGAAAAATTAACAAACTAAATTCCCATATTATGTAACCCAAAAAACAAAAAAAATACAATTGAAATTTCACTGTGACCACAAATAATTTGACTACTTGCTAGTTGAAAACTTCATTACACATACAAGCAAAATTATAACTTTAAAAATAGTAATCACTTTATGTATCTATCAAATTTTAAACTCTTTCTAATTATGTTTTTATGTGAAATTGGTTCCACTATGTCATGTTTTTCAACGATTAGTACTTTTGGAGTTGTGTTAACGAGTGTTAAAATAGTTTAATTTTGATATATTATTAATTTTAGAAAAACATAATATTAATAAATTAACATGTATTGATATAATTTTTAAAACTAATTATTATATTTTTACAAATTAAAATATAATAATTTATAGTTAAATGATAATTTAAAATATTATTTTAAAATTCAAAGCATATTGATCGATCCAACCGTTTCAATTAAGTCCCAAAACGGTGTGCACTGAAGTGGCCTAAACCAGCTAACCATTTGTGAATTACTGTGTTCTTCAAATAATACTGTGTTCAATCCATCGATCGGTTCAGCTTTTAAAAATATTAGTATAAAAACTTTTATGCTATTGCTGCACTTCAATTAAAATTTATTTATTACAAATTATATGTTATTTTAAAAATTTTAATTTATCTTAAAATATTTATATTTTGAAATATTAGAAGTATTCAAATGATGACCAGCATAATAATAAGCAAAAATATTAAAAACATTTAATTTTTCGTTAGTCCTTATCCTAAAATTAAAATAATGATGAGCAAAACCGATGGTAGTTTATGAAACTCTGATTTTTTTATATATTTTTTCACTGCTGAATCTTAATTCTTACCAAAACAGTTGGTAACACGACACACAAAAAATTGATACGTTGGCTAATTAAGTATAGTCTGATAATCATGTTGTTGTTGTTATTATTATTATTATCAGTGAAGCAAATGATTAAAGTATATATTATGCTATTTGTGAATGGATTCACAGGAACCCTTATTCCAACCGTTCGTGCATATGTATATAGCATCGCGCTACTCAGTATACTAATACATAGTTTGGATTTTTATATTTGGTCAGCTTTCACCATAAAAATTTAATTATTTTACTCTCATACTTTAATTTTAGTTAATTTATTAGTATTATAAAATTTAAAATGAATTGTCATACACGTAAATGCCTAGTAAAGCATATACACTGCAACCCAAAATAAATAAGTGGGAGAGCTTAGTATTTTGATTAGAATATAGAAATAATACTATATGTTAAATTTAGTAAAATAGTCATTTTAATAAATTTTTATTAAAATTAAATTTGATTAATTTAAATATTAATTTTACAGTTTTTATGAAATAGGTTAAGTAATAACACTGTAAATATTAATTAATATTTCTATTTTATATAAAATTACGATAATACTATAATAACTAATAGTTAAATTGATGACATTTATTTTTATTGAAAAATCATAAAATATCATTTTACTAAATTTAATAAGTATTGACATCTGCTCGTGACGACTTTGATTGATGACAGTAAATAATATAATATATCAGCAACCTGCAGCTCTTTTCCATGATAGTATTTTGATGGCCATAAAAAAATTTAACAATTTTGATTGCTGACTAAACTTTACTCCTATGAATGTACCATAAATGCTGCTCTCTTAAAATGCGCAACAGCACGGAGGCTATAGATAGAGCAGGATGAGAAGAATAATCAATTAAACCCTATTTGACCACAACTTTCGAGTGCTTCAATTGGACAGAAATATTCATAAAATACTCATAGTCTGAGGGTTAATAAAATATTCTTCTTACGTGGCTCAACTTTATTTTTGTTTATATTATCTCTTGCAACATCGAATCCTAAGCTAAGGAAATGCACATGTTCTTTTTGTTACAAATATGGTTGGACAAGAACTTTGATGCAAAACGTGATATACTGTTGCCGCAGGAATCAGCGGGGGATCTATGAAAGCAAAGTTGCACCATAACTTCAGCCATGTTGGTGATCTAGTAAAAGAGTTTGTGCCAGTCTAAAAAAAACGACGGTTTTGAACGTGACAGCACTTATAAGCTTGTAATAATAGAATTCCAAACGAAACAAAGATCCATAACTTAAGGGTTGAACTCGCTCAACATGTGATTTGACTTTGAAGAAAAATTCACTGCGTAAATGTAAAATATTATCTAATATGATGGCAAGTGAGGGGTAAAATGAATGAAAGTTAAAAAGATGCAGTTGTCGCAGGGCACGAGGGTGTGGGTTGGCCGGTGGAACTTTGAGTGATGATGACGCAGAAGTAACGAATTAACGATCCCAAAGTGAAGAATCGGTTTTGAAAATGGATAGTAACTTGTTTATGCATCAACCGCCAACTATAGTCTCATTCCTCTCAGTCTCACGTATTCATTGGTTTTCAACAACCACAAATGGTCCTGCTTTTGGAACACACCCCCAATGCAGCAAAGGTAGGAATTTGGAAACAGATATGTCTAGTACTATTTCCAAACACCCATCTCTGCACTTTTTTCTTTGGATTTATTATACCTATCAATATTTTCTGCTCTATAAAATTAAGCCAAAGGAAGTAATGATTATGTGTGTCCTTTTATATCCCCTTTTTTCTCAACTTTCAATTTGGACAACTTGGTAAGTAACTTGTACAACATGTAGAATTCGGCAATTTCAAAGGTTTTTTTCTCTTCTTATAATGATTGGCCAATATTATTTTGAAAAATCAAAACAAAACGTTTGTTGGTAAGTGTTCTATTACGTTGACATATATTATTGTAAGATCATTTAAAATTTAAGTATAAGGGGTGCATATATAATTAATTTACATAAAATTTAAAATATAGTAAAATTATAAAGAAAATATAGGAGAAAAGGAAGTAAAAAACTTAACGAAATTAATTTAAAAATTTAAGTAGTTAAAATTTGAAGGAGAAAATAAAGCTAACATTAAAAGAGAAAATTTAGAAGTAATTATTCTGAGAGCATAAACAATTAAGATTTGAGAAGAAAAAAATAGAAAACGTTTAACAGTGTGACAAATAAAGATAAGAATGCATTACTTGTCACATTTTTTTTATCTCTCTTTTAACATTAAGAAATTCATTTTATTTATCGTATAAGGGTTATTAACAATTGTAGTGTCTATAATAACTTGATTAAAGGGGTGGTTTTTCTAAAACCATGACATGAATATATTGAGCAGTCAGCTGAATTATTAAACACAACAAATAACACTTGAATTGATACACGCCAAAAGGACAAGCAAACAATACAACTTGTAATCTGTCTCCCCAGAAACAATAACCTAAACTAGTTTTACAATATTGTGTTTTTAATGCCCCCTTGTAGTTATCGTTGTATTCATTTTTACAGGTGCAGTTGCTCGTGGCCCAGTTATCTGGTTGGAATTGGACGTAACTCCCAGCAAGATCCCATGACATGACCTTAGGGTTCTCATTTCATGGCCTTTTCCATATATGGGAAAATATAACTGTAAACAGCTCCGTAGCTCTTAACTCTAATAAATAAGAATGAATTTGGTTTTCAGACAATCTTTTTGGGGATATTTTAACACATCTAGATTTTATCATCATCCATATGAATTGTTTTGAAATGTTCTTTGGGTAACTTCATACACATTAGAATTATCAACTCAAACACAGCCATACATAGGTTCAATTTCCACAACCATATTTCCCTGCTCCAAAAATGTAGGCTTAATTAGTAATGACCCAAAAAAAGAAACTCAATGGAATGGTTGGTGACATTTCAAAAGCTAATGTCTTGGAGCGTCATATTTCATGAAGATTTGAGGTTTCTTGAGATGCTTTCAAATTGACATAATTAACAACCAATTAAACTTGTCATTCAATTTGAACACAATATAATGCATTAAAGACCAAGTTGGTGTGTCGTTCAAAATTATGAATTACATGGGCAACTTATTTATCATAATGGAGGGCTAACAACCCAAATGATTGTTACGTATTCCATTCTCCATATTTATTCTAAACACATGACTGGCAGGATTATGGGCCCGTTTGAAAGGGATTGGGAATATTTTATGGTTTGAAAGGGATTAGGAACATTTTATGAAAATCAATGACAAGATTTGTACCCTAATTTTTCATTTTGATTTAATTTTATAACATTTTTTTGCATTTTATTATTTTAAATATTTTTAATTGACTCTTCTGTCAAGTTATTCATAAAAACAGTCACTGTTTTTTACGTTAAAATCCACAATCATTAATAAAAATAAATTTGACAGAGAAATAAATAGATAAAAATTTCAAAACAAATTAGAAATCAAATAAAAATAAACAAATTAAAGAATTATCACTCTAATTTTCCCCAAGAAAATTTATGAATACCCCACAATATGTTTTCCTTTGGTCGGGAATGCCCCACAATATTAAAGACAAATATATACTTTTTATAAACTTATCGTATTCAGATTCCCATTTGAAAGACAATTTCGTTGATAGATATGAAAAAAAAAAGTTAATATATTGGAAATAAAGATTTTCAGCAATTATAAAAGCTTATGATTTTTTTATTTATTTGGGGGGGAGGGGGGGTTCACTCATCCTATTTGTAACTATTTTTTTAATCAACAACTGTGAAATTACTTATTTATCCATTATGACAATTGTAAATTAAAGTATAAGAGGAGAGTGGCTGCAGACTGGGCTGAGAATCGAATAGAGCCATTATATCTGCAAAAGCCCAGCCTGGTAGAGCAAAGGTTCCAATTTGGGTCGAAAACGAGGCCCAAATAATAATAAATAAAAAAAACAGACCCTAACAACAGCCCTATAATACCCCACTGGTTAAGGTTGTCGGCTCGTCAAGACACCGTTCTGAATCGGAAATCACGTTCTTCTCCTTCGTTGGTTTATTAATTTTGTAACATAGAATAACAATTGCACCATAACCTTAACATAGCCCCTCCTTAACACGTTTCTTCATAGTTCTAGGAGCTTCGATTGAGTAAGTTAGGAATTTATTATTGCGAAAGTTGTGAAAAGATACTCATATTTGGCATTTGCGTGGGTGGGGGATTAGGATTAGGGTTTTGATGGGTACTGAGAGGAAGAGGAAGGTGAGTTTGTTTGATGTGGTTGACGACGGTGCGGCGAAGATGGCGAAATCAAATGGCGCTAACAGCCTCGTTAACCGATGGAACGGGAAACCCTATTCGCAAAGGTACTGTGAGATTTTGGAGAAGAGGAAGAGTCTCCCCGTTTGGCAGCAGAAGGAGGAGTTCTTGCAGGTTTTGAAAGATAACCAGACTATCATTCTCGTTGGTGAGACTGGTAGTGGCAAAACCACTCAGGTTTCTTTCTTTCCCTGTTCAAACATTATATATATATATATATATGTCTCTTGCTTGTGCCTTAGTTACCTTCTTCTGCGATGTTACTTTGTTTTCAAGTTTATTGGAGCGCCTTGTTTAAAATTTAAGTATGACTGTGGATTCGTTACCTAGCACTGGTTTTAAAGACAAAATTGAAACTCAGGGATCTATGCATTATAGAAAGAATGAGTAAACTTACGAATTATTTTTGACATTGCAACATGTTATTCAATATAGTCTTTTGTGTGTGTGCGACGCGCAAATTGACAGTGAAAAATAAAGTGTAAAAGGAGTAAAGTAAGTTTTTTTTTTTTTTTGCTAAGTAAAGGACTTGCAGGAGATTTTTAAAATTTCAGGACTATACCCAACCTATACAACCTTGAAATTTAGGGGTTTACTATATAAAAAAACTATGTTTGTCGAAAACATGCAGCTTGAATTGGCACAAATTTTTTTTTCAAACAAAGTTAAAAAAAAATTAGGGTGCAGACTAGGAGTAGACCTAACTAATAAATGCGTGATCAGATATTCTTGGATATCTGTTTATACGTCTCTAACTTTCTTACTTATTTTTTGTATATTTGGTGACAGATCCCTCAGTTTGTCTTGGAAGCTGTTGATATAGAAACCCCAGATAAACGCAGGAAGATGATGATTGCTTGCACTCAGCCTCGTAGAGTGGCTGCAATGTCTGTTTCCAGGCGTGTGGCAGAGGAGATGGATGTGAATATCGGAGAAGAGGTTGGTTACAGCATCAGATTTGAAGATTGCAGTAGTGCAAGGACAGTTTTGAAGTATGTTTCATTTTACAAATTAATTACACTGTGCTGTACTGTTTTGTATAATGTTTGCTGTCTTAAGTTTAGCCTCAATTTTATTTTTTTTCTGCCTCCCGCAGGTATCTCACTGATGGTATGCTTTTGAGAGAAGCAATGACAGATCCACTTTTGGAACGATACAAGGTAATTATTCTTGATGAAGCACATGAAAGGACTTTGGCTACAGATGTGCTATTTGGCCTTCTTAAGGAAGTGCTTAAAAATAGACCTGACTTGAAGTTGGTTGTTATGAGTGCAACACTTGAAGCTGAAAAGTTCCAGGGTTATTTTTATGGGGCCCCTCTTATGAAAGTTCCTGGAAGACTGCATCCTGTGGAAATCTTCTATACTCAGGAACCAGAAAGGGATTACTTGGAGGCTGCTATTAGGACAGTGGTGCAGATACACATGTGTGAACCTTCTGGAGATATACTTGTTTTTCTCACTGGAGAGGAAGAGATAGAAGATGCATGTCGCAAAATAACAAAAGAAATTTCAAATATGGGTGATCAGGTGGGGCCTGTGAAAGTGGTACCCTTGTATTCTACTCTTCCTCCAGCTATGCAGCAGAAGATTTTTGAGCCAGCGCCACCCCCACTTAAGGAGGGAGGACCTCCTGGAAGGAAGATTGTGGTATCAACAAACATAGCCGAAACTTCCTTGACAATTGATGGTATAGTCTATGTTATTGACCCTGGATTTGCTAAGCAGAAGGTTTATAACCCTCGAGTCCGTGTGGAGTCTTTGTTGGTGTCACCAATATCAAAGGCTAGTGCACACCAGAGATCTGGACGTGCTGGAAGAACTCAGCCAGGAAAATGTTTTAGACTTTATACTGAAAGAAGTTTCAATAATGATCTACAGCCACAGACCTATCCTGAAATTTTGAGATCTAATCTTGCCAACATTGTTCTTACCTTGAAGAAACTGGGTATAGATGATTTAGTGCATTTTGATTTTATGGACCCTCCTGCCCCTGAGACCTTGATGCGTGCATTAGAAGTGTTGAATTACTTGGGTGCACTGGATGATGACGGTAATTTAACAAAGTTGGGTGAGATTATGAGTGAATTTCCTTTGGACCCTCAAATGTCAAAGATGCTCGTTGTTAGTCCTGAATTCAACTGTTCAAATGAGATTCTTTCCGTTTCTGCCATGCTATCAGGTATTATTTTATTTAATTGCTTTTATGTCTGTCCAGTGTCTCATCATAATGTTAAGGGGATGTAGTTTTGCCGGGCTTCACTTTGAAGTGGATGCCCAGCATTTGTACATGTGCACAGAGGTAATATTTGTGCATATGGTGGAGATGTTTGACTGCTTACGTGTGTGCTCGGTTGCACATAAATGCGGTTAGTGGTAATGTCTCCTCTTAGGTAGTCATCAGCAACTGTCTTCTCTGGGTTCCATGCCCCCGGTTGGCATGCACCATAGGATTCTAAGTAAATGCTGATGCAGATAGTTGCAGTTTCTCAGTATTCTCTCATGAAGAAAATGGTGTGGTCTCGCCTCTATGCATCTGCTGACCTTCCGTGGGCCTCCTCTGTGATAATAATTTCTTTCTTTAGTACCCAATTGCTTTGTCCGGCCTAGAGAGGCACAAAAAGCTGCGGATGAAGCGAAAGCTAGGTTTGGACACATTGATGGAGATCATCTCACGCTCTTGAATGTATATCACGCATACAAGCAAAATAGTAAGTTCTTATTCCTGCTAGCCTTTTTTTAATTTTATTATCATATTCTTGCCATTTATTTTTTCTGTTGCTAAATTTATTAATTGTATGTGAATGTCTTTTCAGACGAGGATCCTTCTTGGTGCTATGATAACTTTGTTAATCATAGGGCGCTGAAAGCAGCTGATAATGTTAGACAACAACTAGTGCGTATCATGGCTCGGTTTAACCTCAAGTTATGCAGCACTGACTTCAATAGTCGTGACTACTATGTCAACATAAGAAAAGCAATGCTAGCAGGATATTTCATGCAGGTGGCTCATTTGGAGCGGACAGGACATTACTTGACAGTGAAAGACAACCAGGTCTGTTAAGATGAGCCGCAATTTGTATTTTTGTTTCTCTGTTTTACATTTTGTACTGCTGAATGACCTAGGGCTTTGACTAAACCGCTGAATAAATATATTTATATTAATGATATTTTTTCTGTGTAGGTGGTGCACTTGCATCCATCAAATTGCCTGGACCACAAGCCTGAATGGGTAATATATAATGAATATGTTCTTACCAGTCGGAATTTTATTCGGACTGTGACAGATATACGCGGGGAGTGGTAAGAGTCAGACAACCTTGAAATGGTTTACGTTTTGGTAAAGAAAAGTTCAACTTAATCAATAAAATATATAGTTTTTTTTTTTTTTTTTTCCAAATAACAGAAACATCCGGTTGTGCAATTAAAATAATATTCCTGTCATCAATCATAAACTTTTGAATGCAATGAAGTCCGTAGATAGACCCAATTTGTCATTTTGAATTCCGCTATTTGATTTTAGCTGGGAGAGGAGTTGCAAGACACATTGTCAAATTTATCGTTGTGGACCTTGTGGTTCATCTTTGGTTGATATAATCCAGATGTGCATAACTTGATGATAAAAATTGTTGTTATTCTACAGGTTAGTGGATATAGCACCCCATTACTATGATTTGTCTAATTTTCCACAATGTGAAGCGAAGCGTGTTCTTGAAAGGCTTTACAAGAAACGAGAAAAGGAAAAGGAGGAAGCCAGGAGTCTTAAATGAAGTCCTACCATCCACGCCTTTTTTGCCTTTGGATTGGAATTGGACGGGGAGTCTCTTTCAATTTTACGCCATAATTGTGTTATGGGAAAGTTCCCTGATATTACCGTCGAAGGACATATTGATTGTTGGTAATTTTAGTGAAAAATAGGTCGAGTTCCTTGTACTATTTGTTAGAGCATTAGCAACATGTTTTGTATTCGACTTTGTGCTGTTGCACCCTCTGGGTATTGACTATCTGTGTTTCGTTTAGATGCCTCATCACTGCATTATCCTAGGGATATATTATGTTCTATTTTTTTTTAAAAGGATATTAAAGCTCTGAAAATATTGTTATTCTTTTATTGTCAAAATAAACTAATGCACGGAACATGTAGGGGTGGACGAGAGCCAATTACAAGATTGTACATTACACAATGTTTAGATATGTGAAAATCAAGAGAAGTTGAAAGAGTAGCAAATAGTTTGGGTTTTCAGATGTTTGGATTGAGAATAGAAAAGACAATTTTTTTTTACTTATTTAATTGGATAAAAATTGATTCAAAAGAAAATGAATAAATAGCATGATATTATCCTCTCAGACTAAAATAAAATAAGATTAGTAGGTTTTGCACTATGAGAGGTAAATAAATGGATAGGTTTTTTAAAAAAAGAACAAATTTTGGTTTTGAAATATCTATGATCCTGATTTGTATATCTAGTGTAAAAATAAGATAAAATATTAATTTTAATTATTTAAATAATAAATGTAATGCAAATATAGTTATTTAATGACCAAGATTATTTACTATTCCATTGGTGTCGTTTATCAATTAAAATTTTAATTAAAGTCTTATATTTATTTTTTATAAATTATTAAAATAAAATTTAATTTGAATTGATGAACAATATCTTCGACCCCTAAAAATTGTACTTTAACTTGGTGCGTCATTTAAATACGAAATATTGGTAAACGTAGGAATTTGAGCCCATTGTACTTGCGCTGACGTATGCATTCTTTATGTTGGATCCCATGGGAGTGGACCCTACTGGAGGCTATGATAAAAAATTAATTCTAACAATATACTTAACCTACTCCTTACGCTCTCTTTTTTTCATTAATATTTATTAAAAAATATATATAATTTACATAATTTTTTTTATTTATAAATTAAAAATTTTCTTGTATTTTTTAATTTTTAATAAATTTTAGCTAATAACAAAAATATGTTAAAGAATGTCTTTCCAGCATTCCTCAACAAAATAATCTCACTCATAAAATAAAAAATAATAAAAACAAACGATAACTTAATATTAGAGTTATATTATTCTTATGTCAATTTTTTATAATAAATGTTTCTAATAATAAAATCCCCTCGATCCCTCTGTATCACATCATTCATTTTATTTTTTCTTCTTTTTTTCATGTTTAAACTAAGTTGTAAAAAATTATAAAAATTTTATTAACATCAATTTTTATAATTTAGTTTATTTGTTTGAAAACAATATTTTTTATTAAAAATATATTTATTACATTAAAATTATAAAAATATAGTAAATATATTTTAATAAATTATTATTATTATTATTGTTATTATTAGTTATTTAAAAAAACCTTAAAATTTAAAGTTAACATTTTTCGATTGTCATTTTTATAAAAGTATAAAAAAATTTTAGATGAGTCCTCACAGTGATTAACATAAGTTCTTCCCTACCAGTCAGTGAGGTCCACTTCTAATTTACAATTTTTTGTCCAGATACCGTAAAAATGATTTTACTCTACCTATAAAACAGAACCTTGTAATACTTTAGACAGACAAAAAAATTCTCTAATTCCCCCTTTATTTAAGTTAGCGTATGTAATAAACTAGTGGGTTGAAATAGACTTTGAATTGCTTTCTTCTAATGAGTTTACTTTGCATGTTTTGGATCAATTTAAATTTAACATGGTAATGTACTTCAAATAATTAATTTCTATTATTCTTTCTAAAACAGTAAGAAAATGAAGAAAATAAACTTAAAAATTCATATATTTAATTATATATTTTTATTTTGTTGCCTTATCTACACGTAATCGAGGGGTTCAATTAAAAAAGTCTTCAGTAGGTCAGTCATACTTGATTTTGTTTTAAATAAATAAAAAAAGGCACTTTTCATTTTTATCTTAAGTTTCTGCCTATTCAAAATGTTTAAATTTAAAATGTTATAAATTTTCAAATTTTCGTACGCAAAAGATTGCTTGCATGAAACAATTAATTAAAATTCCGTATATTATTAGTTCAAATATTTTTGTTTTTACTTGTAAAAAAGTAGTTATCTAGTATTGTGGGCCTAACTCACCACATTATAATTAGGAAGTTTTCTTTGTGAATGCCTATTTTATAACTATTCTATTCATAACAAGGGAGGTGAGATGTTTCTATTACCCTATAACTTGTTTTACTTCTACTTTAAGATAATAAACTCATGAATTTAAATTTACCTTATTTAAATTTAATATGTTCTTGATTTCTACAAATATATATTTTTTAATTATATATTTGATATTAAAATTATTATGATTCTTAGTAAGAATAAAATGAAAGTACTTGAAAATAAACTTTGAGACTGGCTTTGCAAATGTGAGAGCATTTTGACATAACAAAAAATTGAAAATAAATTTTGCTGTAATAATATGAATAGAACAGGTTTAACTGGACTTAAAAATTAATTAAGAGAAAAAAGACTATTTAAGTCTTATAAATTTGTCATACTTTCAGTTAGTATGATTATTTTAGCAAAAACACTCAGTGAATGTAAATATAACTTAGTATTTGTTTAATAACATTTCGAAGAAGAAAAGTGACATTAGTTTTTCATTATTATTTTTCTATAAATTTATCAAACGGGTTAACTATGCTTCATCCAAATCCTGAAATTGTTATTTGGGCAACCCTACTCATTCTTCCATCAAATTCGTGATCTTCATTTCAAATGTTGATCGAAGCTTCATTCCTTCCTTTAGCCGGCACTATTAGCATGTTGTGAATAAAATCGCGTTTTTCTAATAAAAGTGAATCCAAAATCGGGTTAAACATGAATTCAAGCACATACTATATATACGGTGTTAGAATTGATTTTATATTCAGCAAGCTTGTAGTGTATTACAGCATATGAGAATTGACAAGAAATATAGTTGCGTTCTCCACTTGCTAGCTGCAGCATAACCGGCACCAAGCTTTTAGAAGGATATAGGTGGGAGTTTGAAAAGGAAATAACTATTTGAATAGGTCCAGAAACCTCAAAATTTACGCTTATCTCCTGTCAAACTTTGGTATAGTTCATCTATTTCCACCTATGAATGTCAACAATGTTGTGAGCATTTCTAATATATATAAACTACTTAAATAGAATGCAATAAGAGTAAGAACAAAAATAAGAGGATATCCCATTACCTGATAATACATGAGCAGTTTGTTTCTTTTCTTCTTAAGTGTTGCAGTCACCAATTCTCTTTCCATGTCAAATGGCTGTGGATCTAATATGACCCCTTTTATATATTCAAAGCCCTTCAGCTAGTTTTACAAAAGACAAATATTAAAGGGGAAACAAGACAATTAGAGAATCATATACTACACCATGGAAACATGGCATCCTTGCTTCATACTCCATAGTTTATTAATCTTCCCAAAAATTATATCTTTAAGCCTTTTCTTTTTCATACCTAAAGCAACAAAGTTATTTTATTGATCATCTAAAACTATATATAGAATATAGTCAAGAGCCGTTACTCAGTTTAGTTCATTATTTCATTGTTCATAGATGTTTACCTTATTTCTCTCAGCAGTGGACTGAAGCTCGGCTAGCACATATTTCTTGAGTTGGTCCAGAGAGCAGAGTTTGGAGAAAGGAGCTATGTGGCCATTTGAATATGCCCACTTATTGGTAATTTCTTCATTTGGAACTACTACTGCGACCAGCATGGACTTGTAGCTATTCCCATAAACCCAGATCTTACAATAAAACATACATAAAATGAATCACAAACTCATCAACACTTCTAAGGACTGAAAAGGGTAAGTATTAACAGCACTTAACTAGTGAAAATACTTACATCTTCAACTATGGGAGTGATTCCATAAATATTTTCAAGATGCTCCAGTGCTATATACTCTCCTTGAGAAAGTTTAACAAGATTCTTCTTCCTGTCAATAATCTTAACAACACCATTAGGCAACATTTCTCCTATGTCCCCTGAGAAAGATACCAGACAATGACACACGATATTAGATCATATAAGGATTCCTAAAATCAGATTAATCTTAAGGCAGGAAATGTCAACTCAACCTGTGTGAAACCATCCATCTCTAATGGCTTCCCTTGTTAACTCTGGATTTTTGTGGTACCCAGTAAAAACAGTTTTCCCTCTCACACATATCTCACCACATGGAGGAGTTCCAAGAGGATCATACCCCATCTCTGGAACCTCCTCTAGCCGTATTTCATTATATATAGATACAGCTCCAACAGTACCAACCATGCACATTTCATCAGGAAAACCGAGAGTAGTTGGTCCACATGTTTCAGTCAAACCTGGATTAACCATATATATTCTGTTATTTCCTAATAGTATTATGTTTTTTATTAATTTTATTTATAAATAGTATAATAAGATTGTTCATTAATCCTTACCATAGCCTTGGCATACAAAGGCACAAGTAGTGACACGCAAGAATTCTTCCACCTCAGGGCTCAAAGCTGCACCTCCGGATATTATTAGTCGAACACGACCACCTAGCCTAGCTTTCACCTAAAATCGAGGAGTCATATGTACAAGAGGTCAATTTTCAAAAATTGAGAAATTGGTCTTTTTTAAAATTAAAAAAATATATAAATACAAGTTCTAAAGATATATTATACTACCTTTCTGAAGGCTAATAGATCCGCTAAACGTGATGCATCTCTCTGTTTATATCCTTTGTTCATCCAACCGAGTTTGCTGTATTTGAAAAAAAAAAGGTGTGAAATTGCAAAACTAAATCCATAATCTCAATTAATGAAAATAATTCAACTTTTTTCCTAAAGCATTGTAGCCAAAAATGGGCTATATGACATTAAAAAAATATGGACCATAGAATTCCAACTTACTAGTTGTAGAGCATGCCAAAAACTTTTCTCCTTATTGGATTGAGATCTTCCACTGCTTTCTTGATGCCTGAAACAAATGTTTTTGAATAAATTATACTGAAATTAAGCAAAAAAACAAACAAACAAACAAAAATCTGTCGTCGCGTAACCTTGCCTTCATACACTTTTTCAAAAACCCTTGGGACACCAGCAAACAATGTTGGCTTTAGCTCCATTAAATCATCCCTCAAAGCGTTCAGATCCTTCATGCACCGATTCCAGAAATAACAAATTTAAAAATCAAAATCAAATAGAATATTCATTAACTATCATGAAGCATCGGACAAGGGAATTGTTGGCACTTCATTTAAGGTTCAATTAACATGCTTGTACTACCTAGCAATTCCAAATTAACAATAGATTCCTTCACGAACGTACCCCATGATAGTACCCAACAGATGCACCCTTACGGAAAAAATACTCCTCAATTGTGCGATCAAGAATATGAGCCAAGGGGAGGAAGGATAAATACACATCATCCCCTGTCATCTATGCAAAATAAAATACATGTCACATAAACTATATAAGAAAAGTGGTACTGTAACATGTATCAGGCATCATATGTACCTTGTCTTCAAATTGTTCCATGAAAAGATCCATTCCTCTTACTAAAGCCACTATGTTTTCATGCGTTAAAACAACACCTTTAGGGTCTCCACTTGTCCCACTTGTATACATTATTGTACATATGTCATTAGCCCGAGGGGGAAAAGTGCTTTTGGGATTTTCTTTTCCCTGAAAGATAATACATTGTTCGTATGAGGATTAATCACAGTAATAGCCTATGAGTAATTTCTCTGCAAAGTCACCATAACTCAAGTCTAGACCCGACACTTCTGATAAAATCTTACAAAAAGTTTCCGCAATCTTGTGATAACATTTATTTCCTAAAAGCTCAAAAAGCAAGCACAGCAGTTCATACGTGTTGTAAGACCTTTACAAAAGAGACAGCTAAAGTAACCAAATTTTACAACATGTACTTTTTTTTTTTAAGTGCAGCATCTAATACCTTAAACACACACTGTGAGTGTAGTAAAGTACCGTGCGTTAGCTTAAATTTTTACTGATTTTATCTTTAAATTTATTAACTTACTTATTTTTTTTGAGTTTGAGTTAGTTGCAGTAAAAGAGAAGTGATATGTTTATTAATTGTTTGGATAAGTACACTGTAGTTTTTAATAGTGTTTTGGATGAGAGGGGAGTACTAGATTATATTATTATGAAATCCTGTAAATGGCTATCACTGGTTAGTAAGAGAAAAACTATTTTGCTAGTGAATCCATACATAGAAATAGAATTATGTTTTTTAATGGTGTTTTAGATGAGAGAGAAGTCCTAAGTTCTATTATTCTGAGATCCTGTAAATGACTATCACTAGTAAGTAAGGGAGAAATTATTTTGCTAACTGATTGGTATTTGAATCCAGGTTACATAGAAATAGAATTATATTTTCTAATAATGTTTTAGATGAGAAAAAAGTACTATATTCTATTATTCTGCGATTCTGAAAATGACTATCACTAGTTAGTAATGGAAAAGCTATTTTACTAGTTGATTGTTATTTGAACCTACGAAATTACATTCATCTTAACTTTGTATCAGTATCTTTTTGCTTTTTATTTTTTAGAGTAAATATTAAATTTTTTATCTATGAATTTTGAGTTTCACTTAAACTCTCTAATAATATATATTTTGCTTATAAAAAAAAGTATCTATAATAAAGAAAACAAACAAGCTGTCACGCTCAATATTTTCTTAAGATTTTTTAATAAGTGAAAATATTAATTTAAATTTTTAGAATTAAGTTTAAATCACTAAGAATAGTAAGAATTTATTAAAAAAAATGTTTTACACTTTTATTATATCTTTAATTCAATGTCGTAAATATTTTTTTTAATAAAAATGACTGATTTTAAATGCTTAAATTGATATAAGATTAACAAAACCCATCTATTAAATGACAATAAATTCCCTTACGGACTAACCAAGTTCAAGAACTCATCCCACGAATATGGCTTAATTCCAAGTGCTACAGCTTTTTCTTTTTCTTCCTCTGTTAATGAAGTGAAGCACACCATGGCTGCATGAAACCATTATCAAATTTTAGTTTTAATTCCCTCTGTCAACTGTAGCACAGCAATATTTAAATTACCTTTTAGTCGCTTAGAGGATTTACAATCAGGATTCAAAAGCTGCAAACAATATATGTACGTATTCGGTCAGAACCTGTAGTTGCGGCTCTGAATCTCTGATATATAAACTCATCTGGAATAGAACATTATTTATCTAATAAACATATCTTATTGGTTACCTCTTTAACCTTCTTATCTTGGACGAAAGCAAAATCTACTTCTGCATGATCTACTATAAAATCTACAGCACCAGGCCCTGCATTAAAAAAAAAAAAGATGCCTTCATATTTGAATGTTTCTTATTATTATTATTATTATTTAGAGAATTTTTTCAAAAAATCGCTCTAACTCGAAAAATGAGCACCATAGCTGTTTACTAAGAAATTAACAAAGTCCAAAGATTGGCTTCGATTTTGATTTTGATTTTTGGGCATGGCTCCTAATCGCAGAAAAAGAAAGATGAGAGAGAGATCTGGGAATAAATTTCAGAACAAACTTACCAAGTGTGTCATAGAGAGGCACACAAACAAAGCTTTGCGCAGAACAAGCCTACACCAATATAAACATGATTATGAATTATGATAGAATAAGTAGAAAAAAACAAGAGAGAAAACATTCAGAACACGGGTTAAAGAAGTGCCAAACCTCCATTGCCACAATCCATTGTGGGCAATTAGATCCATAAATTCCAATTTTAGAGCCCTGTGATAGGATAACCACAATACACATCAAGAAGATTACCTTTGAAGGTTACTAATCCACTCTTTGTAGAAATGATAAGCACTTACAGGTTCGGCACCAGATGCTAGTAAAGCAGAACCAATATTCAGAACTTCATCATAAACTTCCTTGTATGTCTTCCACAAATATGGTCCAAACTGCATATATTTTGGATAAGGCAAATATATTAATGTCTTCCACAAATATGGTCCAATTTATGAACATACCAATTTCTTGACACACATACCAGTTAGTTGCATAATAAAATAAATTTCCATAAGATACCTTTCCTTCGACAATTTTCCGCCATCCCAGCATCCGGTTACGAGGATTATTTTTGACAGACACACTGCAATTATCAGAGAAACATAATCCTAATTAAAAAAAAAAAGCATCATTCATTGATCGAGCACCAAATTTTTTAAACTCTTCCTATACTTACCAGAAAATATCCCAAGTGGTGCTAAAATCAGGATCCATTGGAGGAAAGTCACGTTTGGAAAGGAGGTTACGGTACACTGGACCAATAGATAGCACCCCATTTTGCCCTTCTCCTCCTTCCTCAACCTTCGCTGCAAAAGCCTTCATTTTCCTTTGCCGTGAAACCTGAACAAGGCACAACACAAGAATCACCCACCAAGCACAGAAGAAGAAAAAAAAAGCATTAACTCCCACCAATTTCCATCAACTTGATGCATATTTGTATAGGGGAATTAAATGATCCAAGTACGCGGTCGGTGACAGCAATCAAAAAGTCGTGACTAAAAATCCATTCCAAAAAATTGATTATTATTATTTTCATCATTTGCTTAAAAATAAAGTAGGACTTGTCACATTGAGGCGATCATACATGGTAGCTTTACATGTCCCAAACATTGAAAAAAACATGCTTAGTTCCGAGTCTCCGGGAAGTAACTGAAGGAGAAGGTTAGAGTTGTTTTGTTTGCCCAACACAATAATCATATTTTCACATTAAAGAAACGACCACAGAATATCCAAAAGAGTGAGGGATACGGAAGTGACAAAACGACATAACGGCATCAGAAACATGCCACATATACAGGCTTATACACAGGCACGAACGAATGGCGTGAATAAGTGTACGTACAAAGTGGTGAACTGAGTTTCTGCTTAAAGGGTGTACCTGCACTTGTGTGCAATTCGTATTCAAAGAATGGTTGGATTGGAAAATGAGACATGCGATGTGCTTGGATACTCAAAATTTTATAGCAATAAAGGAGATGCAGTTGTAAATGAGGTAGTTGAAAGTTGATGCAAACAAAATAATGATGAGAACGTCCAATTTCACTCTGTCTTGTTTTCATGTCACCATCCCACGCTCTTAGGTTGTTTGTTTTTACAGTGTTTGTGTTCTTTAACTTCATTCACCTCCATTTTACATTTTTATGAATATATTAAACTGAAGCATCAACATTTTAGTTGTCATTGTCAATTATTGATCTCTTTTTTTAACATTTTAATGGAAATTACTTAATTTACTTTAATAGATAAACAATTGTACTAAACAGACTCGTACTATTAAATAACTTTAATGTTTTTAATATAATAAAGATTTTTTAGTAAAAAATATTTTTATTCCCTCAATTTTTGCTGCTGATACATAAAGATATTGAAGGCAAAAACAAGTTTCTTTCACATCTAGTGTACAGGTGTGCCTCATAAACCTTAAATTAAGAAAATGAGATTAATGACAGAGGTTGATGGCTGATATATACTAGCTCAATATATTACTTTGTTATTTTCATTTTATGGCCTGCTTGTATAAAGCTCATTGAGAATCAATTATTCAAAATATATTCATGTTTATTTCACTGTAATGTAATTTTGAGTTCTTTGTCGTTTATTTTAATTTGAAATAGATTACTGGTAGTACAACGTTAAAGTAAACACAAACAAAAATTGGCAGTTAATCGTCGAGAATGTTGCACAACCATCTCTTAGTCATAGCTTTCCAAAAAATGAATGAATTTAGAAGAATTTTTTATAAAGGATCCATGGTAAAAGGTAAGCTTTACATTCTTCACATGTTATATTATTATATATAAAAAAAAACATTAAATGTTGTTATAAATCATATGTTTTATTGATAAAAAATATTAACATCAGTTTTTAAGATTAATTTTAAATTTTTATTATATAGATTAAAATATAAATATAATCTATATTTGTTTAAGAAAAAATTATTATTTTCATTAATTTATTCTCATAAACCGATGTAAATCCGTTTTAGAATTATTGGAGTCTACCAATACAGTAGAAAAATAGACATTTTAACAGAGGGATTTAGGCCCACAAATTTAGCTTACCTTTTTAAGTATAGTCGCAAGTGACTAGAGTTGAGGGTAGGCGCTGAACCAGTTTCCAAAAACAGATTTTAGAAAAAAAAAATCAAAATAAAGTTTATTTATTAGCTTAGTTTTTAAAATTATTTTTAAGATGAGAAAATAAAAAAATTAAAACACTTTAAAGCTATTCTTATTTTTTTTTTTTTTTTAAGAACTCATCTTAATAAATCAGTTTTTTTTTTTTTGTAACTTTAAAAAAATTATTTTAAAAACAGAAAACAAACAAGTCCTTACACTTGGAAACACGGCAACACCTATGGGCTTTCTGAGTTCCCAGTGGTTCCTATATTTCCTTGTAGTCAACATATATTGCCATATTCTTCAAAATTTTAGGTAAAAAATACTTTGAAACAAACTAAAATGGTTGGACACAAAATATGAGACAAAAGAGTATCTAATAACATATATTAAGACCCTCTTAAGACATTTTTCCCTCTCGTTTGAAGGGAGACAATGATTTTATATTAAAAATTATTTTTCAAGAACATTATAATTTATGATAAAATGTTTATTAATTTGTTTTTTAAAATTGAATTTAATTAATGTATAGTATAATTAATTTCTTTGATGAATACAATTTAAAATCACATCATTTATATTTTAAAATTATTTATTTTATTTTATTTTAAAAAATATTTAAAATATTTAGTATTTTTTACGTTATATTAATAAAATATTGATTTTAATTATTTTATTTTATAAAATAATGTTAAGAACATAAGATTAAGTGAACAAGTTTCATTGTAATTATATAAACTATTTAAAATTTTAAAATATGTTATGTAAGAATTTATCATAGTAATTCTATCGTGATTTTTTTCTTGGAAAAATATATTTAAAATGAAAGATATATTATATCATAATAAATAATACAATATAAATTTTTATTTATTTATTTATTTATTTACCTTTTTCATGTAAGAAATGTGATAGTTATTTAGAAACTTTGAATAATTTTTCTTTTACACGTTATGTTTAATGCATTTTTATATTATAAAATTAATTTCAAAACAGTGTAATAATTAAATATTATATAATTTATTAATTTTAATATATTTTGAAAAATGATCAATAAAAATAAGTTATATTAATTTATATTTTTATTCTTATAAATAAAATCAACCCATCCTATACGTGTAGGAAAGAAAATTAATTTTAATAAAATGCACTTTTTCAACTTAATTTTAAAAAACCAGATTGAATACTATAATGATATATTGTTAGTTGGGTTGAAAAGAAAAAAGATAAATTTTGCAGTATTTTATAAAATGAAAATATATTTTATAATTTTTTATATAATGAAATTAGTGATTTATTTAAGAAATATATAAATATTTTTTAATTTTTAAAATATTTTAAAAAATATACAATATCTTCTTAAATTTAAGAAGTATCGTAATAAAAAAAAATTATTGATTTAGTTGGAAAAAAAAACGAGTATTCGTTCAGTTCATATAATTAAAGTTTAACATTATATCACATCCTGACAACTGTTGCACCACTTCCCTGTTTCAAGTGTCATAAAATATTAATATATAAATTTAAAAAAATAAAGAGCAAATTAATTTAAGTGATAAAATATTATACTTTAATAATAATAATAATAATAATAATAATAATGTATTTGACGAGGTTGAGATGAATAAAAATATATCATGAAAATAAGTATTAAAAATAAAAATATTCTTTACAAGTTATAGGGATGTTGGGGTGCAGGGTATGTTGGGGTTTGTATTTGCAGGGAGCGTTGTAGGGTGAGAGTGATAACATCACAAAATTCATTAATTGGCACTGTGAATTGGCTTCTTCAATTAGTTGCGGTGTGATTGGGTGGACGAATTTACGACCAATGGGTCCATTCCCTACTGTCATTGGATAGCAGTACTGTCAGTAGGTTAATATTAATGCCATATCACCACTTGACATCCATCATTTAAGTACACCCCTTTATCATCTTTTATTATATAACTTATAACAACTTCTTTTTAATAAGTATAATACAATAATTCATGAATAAAATATATTGATTAACCTTTTAAGTAACAATGTTTAAGAGGAATATATTATACTCCCCCCTCTAACAAAATTATTAAAACAATATTAAAGTTATTGTAGTTGTTAGTCGATAATTGTAGTAGTTAGTTGATAACAACAACTTTTAATAAAAAAGTTTATTAACAAAAGATAATATTATATTTATTTAGAGAAAATAAGAAAAAAAATTGTTTAACATCACAATTATGATTAATGATATATATAAGATTGATATAGTTGATGCAATCTAAATTAATTAAATTTAAAATAATTTTCCAGTGATAAATATGACAAAAAAATATATTATTATTATTAAATTTAAACTAAACTCTAACTTTTTGTCTTGGAAAAAGTTTGCATCTAGTATTTTAGTTCTTAAAAAATTAAAAATATTATATTAATATTTGACTTTTATTTTTGTCAGACATTTAAGTCGTTAGACTACACTACTATTAATAGATTGTAACAAAATGCTGACATATTATATTAAGTAAAATGTGTTATTGATTACATGTCAAAAATGATATCGTATGTGGTAATATTATATGTTTTTGTTTCATTTTAGTTCTTAAAATTATAACTCTTCAAGTATTTTTGTTCCTGAGATTGTCATTGACAAGTATTTTAGTCTCTAAAATTATTACTTATAAGTATTTTTAGTAGTTGAGATTACGAGTTGTTGATTAATTTCTATGTAAATATTGCTTCTATATATGTTCTAATTTAAGTTATCACATTAATATACATTTTTTCATTTTCCTTAAACTTTTTTAGTAGTTGAGATTACAAATTGTTGATTAATTTCTATGTAAATATTGTTTCTATATATGTTCTAATTTAAGTCATTACATTAATATACGTGTTTTCATCTTTCTTAAACTTTGATATTGACAGTGTTGTTTATCATTTGATTATGTAAGCTTAAAAATAAAGTGTTGTTTATCATTTGATTATGTAAGCTTAAAAATAATGTGAGACGTAAACATCATTTGGTTACGTAATTAATGATACCTATCATTTAATGTAACACATTAATATTTTATTACTATTTATTAATAGTATCTAAGTTTGAAAACTTAAATGCTGAAGAAAAATTAAAATTAAAGACTTACATGACAATTTTAATTTTTTAAAAAGTAAAATATTTAATACAAATTTTATTGGAGAACAAAACAAGAGTTTAGTCCTAAATTGATTTTTAAACGGCTTTCTTACATTACTCTTTGGCCGATAATAAATGCAAACCCCTCAGTCTAGTTTCGCTTTACCAGACAATACCATTTTCGAATGAAAAGACAATACAATTGGACGTGTTACTAAACTAATTAATTGTTTGTTAATGTGAGAGGTAAATAAAAGTAAAAGAGGGTCTTACCTTCATTCCATTTAGAAATTGGAATTAGAAGCATATATCACGTGTCAAACACCCACGACACGAGTAGGATCATCATGCCCATTGCCCAATCCAATCATTAGAGCAGTCCTAAACCATAACATTTCATTTGTCTTTCTCTTCCCTTATTAATCGGGAATTATTAAAGTGTACGTTGGGTCCATGCTTCAACACAACATCGTCTGAACCAAACGCATTGGAAATTGCACACACTAAACCAAGGTGAAGATTCATATCTCATAAAACAAGCCCAGTCCAAAACATTTACTGGGCCCAGACAAACTATCTTATCTTTCATTATCGGGCCAGCCAATGATCAAAAGCCCGGGAAATGCAATGCAAATTTTGCAATGATCAAAAACCACTCAGTAAACTTGTAGTATACAAGTTATATGCAAGATTATTATAATTCGAATTCTGAGTCTTAAAAATTCTCACATTCTCTTCTGCCTTTCCCAATGACCCCCTAAAAAATGCCACTCTGTTTTGGACTCAGAATCTATTAGCAATATTTCAACTGACATCTTCTCATATGACTTTGAATTATTGCTATTTAGCTATTTGCTAGCTTCTCCGTGGAAAATGCAGGGTTATGCTAAGAAATATTTGGAGAAGATATATGTTAATCTCATCATGGTGAAGCTGAAGCAATAAGAACAGAGAGATGGAACAGTGAATTGATTAAAGTCGCTTTGAATACAGTTGGGTGTGCACGAGCATCATATATTATGCTATAATACCAAGTGTTTTTTTTTTTTTTTTCTTTTATAAAATTAGTGCTATTAATTATAATGGAATAAACAGCACAGCTGAACAATGTTTTAGGCAGACTCGTCTGTTTGAGCAGCATAAACTGCTCTCCACCACCGTGACAAATTGATTAAGAATGGCGTGTACACGAAGTAGCAAGTGAGTGTCCAAGTAACCAGTCCCTGCACGTAGAATTCATTATAATTTGTGTTAGAACTCTCGATGATAAAATATAGCTTTTGGAGGTAGTAAGAGAAATCATCAACAATATCACAAATTAATAAAAGGCTTTAGCGGAAACTGACTATAATAAGAAGTACCTGGCCAAAGATTTCAACGTTCGCTTGAGGATAGTACCAAAGGTTGAAGAACCTGAAAGAAGCAAAAGGGAAGTATAGTATCCATCAAAATGCAGCCATACATACTTCAATTGTCAAATCAAGAGGTAAGATGGGAAAGAGAGAGTGTTTACTTCATTATGGGTATCTCAGCCAATGGGCAACAAAGCCCAACAATGCATGCCAAGGTGAACCCTGACCATGTCCTATCCAATAAAAACCATATAAACTCTGCTGCAGCAAATAATATGTAGGCCTCAATGTTGTCTGCTATACCAGCTTTATAAAGTTCGGCACTCAATTCTATAAACAGCACCAACAATCTAAGACAGGAGAATCTTATATCATAAATCTTATATTATAAACATCATCGCGTGTTGAGAAATGAAAATAAAATAGTAACTTGTAATAGAAATTATAGTATTTAATGTTATTAATATATTTAATTCTGAAATATACTCAATAAAAACTTATCACATATAATTTCTTAACACGTCTTCAAAGCAATAGGTACTTACATCAGCGAGAAAATTGTTTTTACTAAACTTCCCTCTCGAACCTTTTTGAAGACGCTCTCGTCTAGGTAGAGTTGAAGCATACCAACAGAGGAATAGAACAACCCCAGCAAGAAAGGAACCTATGAACATGAATTTAGAGAATAGATGAAAATTGAGTGAATAATAGGGTAAAATGCAAAATCAAGTGTGCAGAAAATTGAAGTTGAAACCAACCCACCCACCCAGATATTTGTGTGGAGTGGGCCTATATCGATGGAGTCTGATTTGTACACGACGAGATTGACCCTTGAATGGAGTCCATCGAGAAGGGGACCCAATTAGAAGCCATTGCCAAAAAGTGTAAGTGAAACCAAAGGGCATGAAGTTATGGGGGTTGTTTGGCTCTGCTGTCTCTGAGCACAGCGAGGCTTAAGCAGACCCAGTTTACGTATTCCATGGAGAGAATAAGTATAACCCTGAATAAAGGAAAAGGAAGATGCAAGCAGGTATTGCATATTATCCAAAACAATAAAGGAGAAGGAATCTACTCTTTCCACTTTCCAGTTTAAGTTTCCTTTGTTCCTGGGAATTATGCTTCTCTATAATATTGAATAAATTTTAACTAATAACTAAAAGTATGCTAAAAAATATATATGTTAACACTCCAAAAACTTATCATGCTCAAGTTTATTATATTATTTAGTTAAAAAAAAAAAGAGCTAAGGTTAACTAATTCAAGTTAAAAATATTTTTGAACCACTACTCTCCACTCTCTGTTTATTGTGCTTGTATTTCCTTGCTATTTCATTGGGTTTATCGTGAGTTGCAGCAAGATTAATAAAATATATATTAATAGTAAATATTCCTTAAAATTTTAAATATATAAATTATAATTGGATTCAAAAATATTTATACAGAAACTTACTAGTTATCCTGAAGGATAAGAGGACATACCTTCCCATGAAAAGTCCATCTATTTAAAATATGATATAGACGCTTGAAGTCTCCAAGGGTAATTTTAGGATTGATTTGAAAGAATTTATAAATAGTTTATAAAAGTATTTTATAACTTTTACAAACTTATTTTCATATACTTATTAATATATCATATCAAAATAAGTTATTTTTAACTTATTCTAATAATTATTATAGTTAAATTTATGATATGAGTTCTATATAAAAAAATCACATTGAATAGCATTTAATTAAATTATATATGTAAATATACGCTTATTCAAATATTTTAATTTTATTAATATGTATTTTTTATACGTGAATTATTTATTTATTTTGGTTTTTACAGTGAAGGGTTTAATTTTTGTGAACAGTACATTAAAGTCAGTCAGGCAGAAGGGGCCTTAAACAAAGCCCATGAATAAAACCCAGCACCCAAAACAAGACACCATGGGTCCAAAAACATGTAGCCCAACTTGGGTCACCGAAGACAAACTCTACTGCATAGAAAACAAAATGACAAATTAAAGAAAGCTCAAAATTTAGTACAATATTATAGGCAATTTTACGTTATTTTTTAATTAAAATTAAATTTTCACTTAGATATTCTGTGTAATAAAAATTAACACACATTATTAAAGTAAAATTTCAATCTTAAATGAAAAATAACACCAAACATTCTTATAATATTATACACAAATTTTATTCTTACAACAAATATTACATAATATCAAAATTTTATTAAACCTTATACTACAACTATTGTATTGTTGGGTTTATTCTATACTCTCTAGTATCTTAACCTAATAGCAATTTGCAAATGAACACTTCCCGGTTTTTCTAACAAAACTCTGTTAAAAAGAATTTAATATTTGAAATTGCCCCCAACAATTTACTATGGTTACTAAACAGGAAAAAAAACTCCAATTGTAAAAAAATAAATTAAAATGCACTATTATGTAATACCAAAATCTCGTAGACCCTCGAGCTATATATATATATATATATATATATATATTTTAAATTAATACATATTTAAAGACATGTAATAAAAAGTTATAAATAATAATTTTTTATTAAAATTTATAAGATTCAATGCATTTTCGTGGAGGTCATAATTCAATGCAAGGGGCAGAGATCAACACAGACCAAAATAAAATTCTATCAACAAATTTTTCAATCCATAATTTTATCATAGAATCAGGAGAATATTTTCTAACAGAAAAAAGATTGATGAACCAAGTATAGCCACACCAATAAAATAAACATCAGAATAACGTTTTCGATGTAACTCTATTAGAATGACATACTAACAAGACCAACTAGTTATTAATTTTGATGTTACATTAAATAAAAGTATGGTTTTAAAACATTAAGATTTTAAAGATGGCTTGGGGTGGGCATTATGTCTAAACTCTGATCTTCTACGGATGAAGGGGGGAACATGCATGTGTTTGTGACCGACACACACAAATACATGATTTCATTATTAATAAAGTTACAAGGGTGGCTGAGTGGAATGTCGATCGTTTTGCACATTTTATTTTACAAATAAGTGAAGTCTGAAATCTCCATTTGCAGGCCTCCAAAGTTATTTTAAACAATATTACACAGTAATAAAAAGTTCAAATAAACTGACGCCACACACAAAAGTTGTTGTTAGCTGCTCTTGACTCGATTCAATTTGGCACTAGACTCCACTCAACAAGACACAACAGAAAACCTCCAACACTTGACTCATTTTTTGTACACAAACTTCTCTTTTTAACCCAAACGACAGAATCTATGGTTTTCTTTCTCATTGTCATATTCCAAGCTAACCTTTCATATATCACATTTGTCTCTTAATTTGATCTTTTGCTGTCAATTCCATGTTGTCTTGTATTGCCCTTGTATACTCTCCTTGCAGGCGCATGTATAATAAAAAAGTAATATTTTTACATGCATTTAAAATATGCATATAGAGTACTGGAATTACTTTTCACACGACAGGGGACAAATCACTCGAACTGTGAAAACGCATACCATTGAATTTTATTTATTTTATAAGACTCAACTTTAGTTCCCTTAAATTTCTTGTTTTGCTCTCTAAAGTTTTTATTCTCATTCTGTTTATAAAATATTATTATATACGTGGACAACTTTACTGTATAATGTTTTACTATTTCTCTTCAACCATAGGCATCTATCAACAATTTTAATATATTTGCAGAGACAGTAGTTGTCCATAAGCAACTGTCTCCATTTGGTGTTGTTTTGCACATCGTTATTCTTCAGACAAAAGTTAAGGTATTATATTATTATCAACTATTTTCCCCCCCTTACAGACAGATAAATCAACTTCGTTTCATCATGCATCACTATACTTTTTCTGATAAAATATGTCGGCAGGACGGAGGTGGGAAGTGAAATATAGACATATTTTATTAACTAATAACTGATAAATTGAATTAGTACATCTTGCCAAACTGATGAGTGATCATTAGAAAGCGCAAGATTTTCACGAAACACATCTTTTTCTGCCAGTACAATTTTTTATCAGTAAAATAATACCTAGTTCTCGACTAAAATTAGGGTCCGAGCCTAACAATCCGCTAAGCACTCATGCATAGAATGAGCAAGAAACCATGTGAAGGGAATTTTTATCATTCAAGGTCCAAACCCATATTGATTTGAAGAAAGAGAATTTAAGCCAAAGATTTGAAGAAAGAGAATTTATACACTAATCCCATGTCAAGGGAATTTCAAGAAACCATGCAAGTAGATCTCTCATTCCGATTTCATGAGCAAGTGAACTTTTAGATTTAGTTAACCGGCCACATTACAATATTAATATATAAATCCTTTTTGTGCCTTGTTTTACTTCAGCGTCACCTCCACTCAGCCGTCCCGGTTGCTACATCATGAGGATTCCACGTCAAATTATGCAAGACCCAAGCATACTTGAATATTGAGTTAGTTCACAAGTAAATATAATGTAAACAAAACAATTAAAAAAGAAATTTAAAATGTCATTTAATACAAATTATTGAATATAATAGGGATAAATTTACACAATTTTATATAATTACATGCAAAATTGTTTTAATTTTTTTTATTAATAATCAGATTAAATTTACATAAAAAATTAATTTATTATTAATTATTAAATTTATAAGTCATTACTACCACTTCATCTTATTTAACTGTTAGTTATCTTTTATGCCAAGTTAAATTCTTTCAAATTCATGACTTTTTTTTAATTAACTATCATCTCCTTTTTTTTTTCTGTTTTTCTACAATGTTATCACAAAAAAAAATTTATCATTTATTAACAAACAAAAATTATCGAATTATAAAATAATATTTACTAACTAGTATATACTTTATCTAACAAAAATTAAATTGTTAATAAAAAATTTAAAAACATATACTAACAAATAATCACTATACTAATGATTGTGTATTGATAATATATTATTTTACTAATACAAATTAAAGTATTTATAGAAATATATTAATTTTGTATGAAAATTAATTTTTTTTATTTAATCATAGTTTTTTTCATCAGAAATAACTGAGATTTGAACTCAAAATCATACATTAAATTAAAATAACTTTTCGTTAGTTGATTCACACATTTAGTGGTTAAAAATTAAAAATTTATGAAAGTTAATTTGTTATTTTTAGTGTATCTTTTCATATATATTTTACCTGTCATTTGCCAATTTGCCATGTATACGGAAAGAATTTGTAACATTTGCTCCACCAGAAACTATACTCAGTAGATATCACAAAAATCTATCGGCTTGTGTTCTTGTGCTTGTTGAAAGATTATGAGCAACCAAGGATTTCTTCATACATATTATGAGATGTATAAAATAAGAAATTGTTTTATATGAAAGCGAGAATAGGCATTAACGGTTAAATCTTACTATTAATGAAGTTTAATAGCTAGTAAGAATTAAAACATAAAATTAGCAGCTGTCTTAATCCTGCTGGTATGTCCCTTTTGAAATGTAATGCATGGCTTTGACTAATGGGAACTTGGAACTATGCCAAGTTTTTTATTCGCAATTCAAATGCTCCAATTTGAATAAATATTTATTCAGTCCTTTTTAATTGCTTGTTTTCACATTCTAGACTGATCATTTTACAGTTCGAAATCATTCCATGCACCTCCACAGGGTCACCCCTCCACCTTCCCTACAAACCGAAATATAGTTAGGCTAGACTACTTTTTAGAAATATATTATATAAACATTCTTTTATGACTTTGTAAAGATCGATCTCTTTATATTAATGCTTAAAATTACAGAATGTTTACATGACAAAGTTGCATTAAGTAGGTAGATTATAACCGCATAATAAAGCCATGTTTCATCTGTTTAATTATTATACTATATATTTATCATTTTTACATTTTACTTGATGATTTTGCTCATAAATAATATTTTTTGGTTTATAAATGAAATTATGTCCAAACCAAAATTCCTACAAGACTCCTGTCGTTCCACCAAACTTTCCTAATTCGATATTAATTTAAACGGATATTTTGAGCAACGATTTGAGTCATAGTTCAAATTGTTTCAACCCAATTTGGTATCCTTTACTAAAAAAATATATGTATTAGTAATATACTTTAATAAAT